AGCGCACTGCACAACCTGCAGGCAGCCCAACAGGCTGGAGTGTCTTTTCCAGGAAGCTGAGTTGGGCTTTTCCAGGATGTTTGGCTGGACTGAGAATGTTCTGGGCAACTCAGTTTATCTCTGTCTCTTCCACGTGGCTCTGTTGGTTCTGGCCTCTTCTAGGGAGTTAGGCTGGTCTGAGTGTTTCTCAGTGGTCTTTATTGCTTATATATACTTGGGAGAGAGCGGTCTAGTGAATCAGGTCCATGCAGATGATTCCTGAAACCTGTGAGTTGTCAACTTCCTGAGCTTAAGAGCCTCCCTGCTGGATGGAATGCTTGACCTCCCTTTAGAACATGATGTCTTCAGCAACTCCCCTCCAAGATGGAAGGTTTTATCAGAGGAAATTGCTGCACGACCACCATGCCTGGCTTTTTAGTCATTAAAAACTTTTTTGCAGTTATTTATTGTGTTTGTGCATGATGTGTGTAGGAGTGGAGTGCATGTACGTGGAACAGAGGACAACTCTGTGGAGTCGGTTCTCCCCTTACACTTTGACATGGGTTCCAGGGAACGAACTCAGGTCACCAAACTTTCGCCGTTTTACTGTGGGGTCATCTCATGGGCCCCCTTTAGTTGATTTTTAAATAACTAGCTTAATTTTAGTTTTTCAAATTTGATGTTATATACCGAATTCTCATTGTTAAAAGAACTAAGTCAACTATTTCATATATATGACTATCAGATTCTTAGGATTATTATGTGGCTACCCTCTCCCCACCTCCTGACACCCACATCTGCATAGTAAACTAACCTAGGGGCTGGAGAGATGACTCAGCAGTTAAGAACACCAGATGCTCTTGCAGAGGACCTGGGTCCAGTTCCCAGCACCCACATGACTACTAACAACCATCTGTAAGTCCAGTTCCAGAGGATCTGACACCATCTTCTGGCTTCCTCAGGCACTGTATGACACAGGAACACTTACATACATGCAGGCATAACATAAAATAAACATATACATAAAATAATTTTTTAAAGAAACTAACCTAATCCAGAGAGGCCTTGCCCTTGGCTTTTGGGAGGTAATGAAGTAAGCCCTTCTAATATACCACAAAGCATTACAAAGTCATTTAAGGAGGAAGAATTGAATCACGTGGTACAATGTGACTTCTAGAAGGGCTGAAGACCAAGGTTAGATGACATATAGGCAGCCAACCACATTCTAGTGAAAGTTCTGGACACCAGACTCAGGAGTTTCCTGGGTTAATATTCCACATGTATTGTCACACACTGATGCTGAAAATTTGGTGCACTCCTGACCATATAAGGAGAGGATAAGATGCTGCATATCTGGACCTTCCTGAACTCTGTCATGTGTATGTCTCCCATTGGAAGACTGACATCTATATTCTTACTCTGAAAGAAACTGGAAATTGAGTACATGGTCTTAGTGAGTTCCAGGTCTTTCTAGTGGTTCATTAAGCATGAGGGTGTCATGGATTCCCTTGAAATTGTAACTGGTATCAGAAGTGAAGTTGCTCTTATGAGAACTGTCTCCACCTGACCGCACAGTTGGCTAAAGCAGCACAACACTAGAGACTCCACAGCATTCCTGAGTATGGATGTGACCTGTTTCCAACCAGTAGAATATGATAAAGGCAATGTGACATCATTATATGTACATTATTTTCTAATATTTTACTTATTCTTTTATGTGAATATATTGTCTGCATGTATGTAAGCGCACCCATGTTGTGCAATGCCCTCAGAGGTCAGAAGAAGGTGTCGAATCCTCTGGAACTGGAGTTATGGAGAGTTGTTAGCTACCATGTGGGTGCTGGGACTCAAACCCTGGTCCTCTGCAAGAGCAGCCAGTGTTCTTAGCTGCTGAGCTATCTTTCCAGCCCCCATTATATGAACATTAAATGTGTTAAACAAAACCACAGCATTCCTCTTGCTAGAGTCCCAACTCACTGGACATGAAGAACTAAGCTACTGTTGCAGGCTATGTTAGGAGACTCAACGTTAAGGAAGCAAAGCCAGCTCCTAGGAGCTAAAGCCCTTGGTCCTACAAATTATACAACAAAAGTGAATTCTGGGACTAGAGAGATGGCTCAGCAGTTAAGAGCACCAGTTGCTCTTGAAGAGGAACTGAGTTCAGTTCCTAGCACTCACATGGTGGCTCACAACCCTCTGTAACTCCAGTTCCAGAAGATCAAACACCCTTTTTGGCCTCTGAGGGCACTGCATGCATGTGGTGCACTTACCTACATACAGGCAAAACACTCATACACATAAAATAAAAATCTTTTTTTTTTTATCACTGGAGTGTAGCTATTTATTTTTTCCTGTGCACCCCATATAGAACATCAAAAAGTAAATCTTACTGGCCAGAAGTGGTGGGGTGTGTGCCTTTAATCCCAACACTCGGGAGACAGAGGCAGGGGGATCTCTGAGTTCCCGGCCAGCTACTTAAAAAAAAAAAAAAAAAAAAAAAACTAGATCTTCCTATTAAGCTTCATAGAAGACTGCAGCTCAGCTGACAAGATATCTTGAGTGTAGCTTTCTGAGACCTTAAGCAGAGCCATCCTCAGACTCCTGACCCATAGACACTTTGAAATAATATGCATTGAGGGCTGGGCGTGGTGGCACATGCTTTTAATCCCAGCACTCGAGAGGCAGAGGCAGGCGAATATCTGTGAGTTCAAGGCCAGCCTGGTCTACATAGTGAGTTCCAGGCCAGCTGGGTCTACAGAGAGACCCTATCTCAAAAAGACCAAAAAGAGAAAAAAAAAGAGACAAATATGCATTGAGCCACTGTGAACACTTGGTACCCATTGGGAATCAATAAGCTCTTCACCTACCACTCTACAGGCATTCAGGTGGCTGTTCTATCTGCCATTTAGAGAATCTCTACATTGATAAGACTAATGGTTGTTACAATTGTTGTGTAAATATTTATTGAGCAGTATTCTCAAATCAATCTGTAATGTAGGTAGAAAGGTATAGGTATGTGTGTGTTTGTGCTGGGGACTGAATCCAGGGCTTTATACACTTTTGGGAGGGTTGCACACATTTTATAATGTTAAATATAGCTTGGATTTTTTGTCTTGTGTTCTACTTATTATTAATTGTCCTCAAAACTTTCCTCCCAATGTCTAAACTTTATTATGTTCAAACCTAGTGGTTGTTAAAAAGCATTAAGGCACAAACAATAAAAAAAAAAAGACTGATATATTCAACTACATTAAAACTTTTAAATCTTTATTAAGGACACCAAAAAAATGAAGACAACACCCATTGTAGAAGTGATTTGTTACACAGGTAACAAACAAAGACCTAAGAACAATAAGAAAGAGAATCCAGCAACAAAACAGGAAAATATATAAAAAGGCAACTTGGCACACTTTAGCTGTCCCTAGGCGACGCTGCCCGAATACAGTAGTACAGAATACAGTAGTATTTCAGCCCACACCCACTTCTCTGCGCTAGGCACCATTTACGGCAATAAAGGTATTGCCTTTCTAGAAACACATATAAAATAAAAAATGAGGAAAATAAATATATGCTTACCCACATGTAATAAAATAGCCTATGTTTTCCTCTACAGTTAGAGTTCCTGAGCTTGTAAAGACTGCAGACTTTCATTTCTACCTTTTCCTGGTGTACAAGACAGGCTATTGTTTCCACATACATTTATGTGCATATTGAGCAAGGCCTACCCATGAGATCCTCCTGCCTCTGCCTCAATGAGTGCTGGGATTAAAGGTGAGCATCGCCACACCCAATGAAGGCATCATTTCTAATGTGGTCTCTTACAACCTTCTACATGCTTATGCTAGGTAAGAAGTGTTCAGTAGATACTTGATGAATTTATTTTTTTATTTTTATTTTATGTGTATGAGTGTTTTGCCTTCATGTATGTAAGGACACCCATGTTGTACAATGTCCCCAGAGGTCAGAGAAGGTGTTGATCTCCTGTAACTGGAGTTACAGATTATCTGCCATGTAGGTACTGGGAACCCAACCCAGGTCCTCTATAAGAGCAGTGTTCTTAAACACTAAGCCATCTCTCCAGCCCCATACTTGATAAATTTAATTGGAGAAGATATATATCTTTCCCTTTCCAATATGATGTTTTCATTTTTATTATTTAATTATTATTATAATTCTTTATATCAGTGTTATGAGAAAAATAAAATCTAAATAATTATTCACACTCACGTTAGCCAGTCAGTTATGAATTACTATAGTGATATTTTTAGTTGGTTGTTTCGTTTTTTGTTGTTAAGACAGTCTCATAGAGCCCAGGCTGCCCTTGAACTAGCGATGTAGTAAATAATCCCTTAAACTTAAAAAAAAAGTATGTATTTATTTTTATGTGTATGAGTGTTTTGCCTACTTACACAGGTAACTGTACCTGTGTCATATAATGCCCACAGAGGCCAGAAGAGGGCGTCAGATCCTCTGGAACTGTAATTATGGATGGCTGTTAGCCACCATGTGGCTTCTGGGAACAGAATCTGGATGAGCAGCCAGTGATCTTAACCACCGAACCATATCTCTCCAGCCCCCACCTTGAATTCTTGATCTTTCCTGCCTCCACCTCCCAAGTGCTGGAATCACAGGCATATACCACCACACTGGACTTTGAGACACTTTAATGGGATTCTGTTCTAAAATAAAATTGAGGAGTTGGGAAGATGGCTCAGCCAGTAACTGCTTGCAATGCAAGCATGAGGACCTGAGTTCAGATCTGCAGAAACCACATAAAAGCTGTGCATGGTGGTGTTCATCTGTACAGCGGGGCTGGGGAGGCAGAAACAGGTGGATCCCAGGCACTAGTCAACCTCATCAATTCCGTGAACTCCAGGTTTCACCGACAGACCCTGTCTCAAAAAGTAAGGTGGAAAGTGATTTAGAAAGACAACTGATGTTAACCTCTGGCCTACAAACACACCACACACACACACACACACACACACTGGCTCTCTCTCTCTCTCCCTCTCTCTCTCTCTCTCTCTCTCTCTCTCTCTCTCTCTTCAACATTTATCAAAAATTGGAAATCTATTGTTCCTTTCATATTCGATTTTCTTTGAGAGAAATTCTTTACTTTTTGTATCAACTAGTTCTTCAGAGAATAGATTGAATTTAGGAATAAAAAAATGTTCCAGTTTTTCTGTCTTGAGGCACTCAATAAAATATGTCACAAAATTTAAAAAGCAGGAACTTAGGAGTTTGGGATCCCACTGGCTGTCCTGTGGGTTCTCAGTCCACATATGAAAGATGGCGGTTTTCACATGATAAGAACAGAATTTATCCAGTTCTTCAAACTCTTTTTTCAACTGTTCCAAAAGGTATTTCATTAGCTTTAAACATTCTTTCCTGGTTAAATAAAAAAGAAGACATTTATTTATTTACTTATTTATTTATTTACAGCCTATCTTTTATAGCAGACCTTTAAGTGTCTTACAAGAAGAGCACTGAAAGAATAGGGATACGTGATAATATGAATACAGTCACCCTAAGCGTGACTGAGCTTTGAACTTTCACACACTTATTTTCCTTCTTTTTTCCCCAATTTTATGTACACTATCTCCACCATTTCCTTAAAAATTTTTATTTACATATACGGGTATGTGTACATGTAACATGAGCACAGCTACATGTAGAGGTCAGAAGGGGTGTCAGATACCCCGGAGCTGAGTTACAGGCCATTGTGAGTTGCTCAACATGGCTGCTGGGAAACGAACCCCTGTGCTCTGGAAGAGCAGCAAGCACTCCTAACTGCTGAGCCATCTCACCAACTCCTTATTTTAAATTCTTTTTTGGAGGCTTTTTTTTGAGACACAGTCTCCCTGTAGCCCCAGCTGGCCTGGAACTTGCCATGTAGACCAGGCTGGCCTCAGTCTCACAGAGATCCTCCTGCATCTGACTCCTAAGTGCTGGCATTAAAGGCTTGCACTGCCATGCCCAGCCATTTTTTTAAATATTTTATCTATTTTTAAAATATTTTTATTTATTATTTTTATTTTATGTGTATGCATGTATTGCCTGAGTGCAGGTAAGTGCACCTGTTGTGCAATGCCCACGGAGGACAGAAGAAGTTGTCCCTGGAACTGGAGTTACAGACAGTTATTAGCTGCCATGTGGGTGCTGGGATTCAAACCCAGGTCTTCTGCAAGAACAACTAGTATTCTTAACCGCTGAGCATCTCTCCAGCCCTTTATCTATTATTTTTATTTTATGTGTATAAGTATATTGCTTGCACATATGTAAGTGCACCTGTGTCATGCAATACCATGGAGACCAGAAGAGGACATTGGATACCCTGGAACTGGAGCTATAGATGGTTGTTAGCCATCAGGCGGGTACTAGGAATCGAACCCACAAGGTCTTCTTCTGCAAATATTTACAATCCAGCTGTTTAGTAGTTGACAATTTTTAAAAAATTATAAAACTGTTTAGCTTTATTAGCAATGTGTTTTTCTTAATGCTTTCTTCAAACCCTGAACATAAAACCTCAAAGAAGGGGGTGGTGGTGAAGAGATAGCTCAGCGGTTAAGAGCACCAGCTACTCTTACAAAGATACTGGGTTTGGTTCCCAGCACCCACATGGCAGTTAACAACTATCTGTAATTCCAGTTCAGGGGATCAAACTCCCTCTTCTGACCTCCATGGGCATTGTATGACAGAGATTCACTTACATACATGCAGGCAAAAACACTCATACAAATAAAAAATAATAATAAAATGTTTTTAAAACCTTCAAAGAGCATCTATGGCTACATGCTGGGTGCCATCACCTTCACTTTTACCTTTTGTGTTCTTCATACTAGTCAACTTTAGGAACACAAAGAAAACACTTTATTTTCAATATAAGTTTTTTTTATTGTTGCTGTTCTGTTTTTGACTTTTTGAGACAGTCTCATATAGCCCAGGTTGGCCTCAAACTTGTCATGTACCAGACGCTGGCCTTGAGCCCTAATCTTTCTCCACCTCTCAAGTACTGAGATTACACCATGCACTACTACAGCTGGCTCAGTCTCACTTCTTCATGGTATATATTCTACCAAGAAAACTGACCCACTTGGTGTGACTTTGAGTGTGGCAAGTCAGTCCGTAACTTCAGCATAGCTACTCCATGCCAAATCAAGCACCAGTGTCCAATAAGAATTGTTCTTTGGCCTCTTCACTTTTCCTGACAATAATACACTCACTCAGTCAGGTGTGATGTGCATGCCTGTAATCACAGTACTTGGGAGCCTGAGGCAATAAGATTACCATGAGTTAAGGCTATCCTTGGCTACAGAGTGAGCTGTAGGCCAGCCTGGGCTACACAGGAAGACACTACCTAGCCCACCCCATAAAAAATATACATGTAGAGAGAGATATTATATAGAGTGTTTCTATAATATGTATATATACATATTCTCTCTCCTTCCCTCCATCCTTCCCCACCTCAGGGCGCCCTACCACTGCCCTTCTCCCAACCCAGCTCAGCAATACTCACCTTCACGCCTGAGCTATGAAACCAAGAAAGAATGTGTCATAGGTGGTCTGCCATTTAAAACAATAAAGACATTACCTGCAACATTTCACTCCATCAGCTTCACAGCATGTTTTATCTGTTCCATGATTATTCAAAATGTACTTTTCAGTGTGAGAGAAAGATAGCCTCCACGTCTCTCCTTTATTTCAGAAAGAAAAACAGGAAACCACTTCACCCAAAGCATCCATATTTAAACAACACAATATTTAAGTTTAGATTCTCTGTATTAAATATTCTGGGGCTGAAGGAATGGCTCAGCGGTTAAGAGCACTGGCTGTTCCTTCCACAGGACCTGGGTTCAGTTTCCAGCATTCACATGGCAGCTCACAAGGGTTTTAATTTCAGATAGAGGGTATCTGACACCCTCTTCTGGCCTTTGAGGGAGCCAGGCACATACATGGTACACTTACATATATGCAGGCAAACACACATAAACATAAAAAATTAAAATATATAAATAAATATGCATGTATATATATATATATATATAATCTTGAAGAAATTCTAGAAGCAGCAGACTAAAAGAAGTAAACCAACACACAAAGTAATTATTTTACTAAAATAGCTATTATACAGCAAAAGTGGACCCAAATGGGAAAAGATGGAAATCAGAAATTAATACATTTACACAAGGTCAAATATATTAACCTCTTACATAGTGCTAAATTCAGATTGGTAATATTTTGCTTCTCTAATAGTTTGTTTTGTTTGGGATATGGTCTTGCTATGTGGCCCAGGTTGGTTTCAAACCCCTGTACTCCAGGAATCCTCCTGCCTCAGCCTCCCAATTAGCTGGGGCTAACAGGTACAAGATCATCATGCTTCTGCTTCCAGAGTCCTGGGATTATAGGGATACACCTCTGCTTGCCTGGCTCCATGAAAATGTTTAGAAAGGCAAAAACTAAGAAAGGTGTTATAAGGACCTCCATTCTTTAAAATGCATTTAAAAAAATATTTTATTATTTTTATTTTATGTGTATGAGTATATTGCCTGCATGTATGTGAGCACACCCCTGTTGTGCAATGCTGCGGAGGTCAGAAGAGGGCTTCGGATTCCCCTGGAACTGGAGTTAAGGACAGTTCGTAGCCACCATGTGGGTGCTGGGAATCAAACCCAGGTCCTCTACAAGAGCAGTCAGTGCTCTTAACCACTGAGCCAACTCTCTAGTCCCAAGGACCTCCATTCTAATACAGGTATCTTCACTGTTGTAAGCCTCTCTGCTCAGTCCCTGGGACACACACACACACACACACACACACACACACACACACAGAGGCAAGGTGTTGCCTGAGTGTAGGTAATCTAGAATGACAAAGGATGGAGAATAGCCAAAGATATGAGTCACAGAGAGAAGCCATCAGCAGCTTCATCCTCCCCGTAATGCAAGGGTGTGAAGAATGTCCAACTGTCAGCCATAGCACCATCAAATGACTCTTTCTCAGAGCTGAAAAGATGGTCAGGGGTTAAGAGCACTGGCTGCTCTTGCAGAGGACCTGGGTTCAGTTCCCAGCACTCATAAGGCAGCTAACAACCGACTATAACTCCAGTTCCAAGGATTCTGGCACCCTCTTCTGGTTTCCATGGCATTACATGTACATGATGCACTTACATATATGCAGGCAAAACACTCATACACATAAAATAAAAATAAACAAAGAACTTTAAACAACTGTTTCTCATTTATAAACTGAGTTATCTTTCGTTCTTCCTCAGGGACGTAGAAAGGACACAAGAAGGTGGCATGGGTTTACTGAGATTTTTGTATCACATACAAGTTCTTGGGACAGCCATCCTAAAAACTATTCAAGGATAAGAACTGTGCTCCTTTTGCAAAACCATAAATAATGATAGTATAATTCCCTTTTCTTTTGTAACTTTTTTTTTTATGTGTATGTGTGTATTGCCTCCATGTAGGTAAGTGCACCCGTGTCATGAAATGCCTACAGAGGTCAGAAGAGACTGTCGGATCCCCTGGGACTGGAGTTACGGACAGTTGTTAGCGGCCATGTGGGTGCTGGGATTTGAACCTGGGTCTTCTGCAAGAACAACCAGTGTCTTAACCACTGAGCAATCTCTCCAGCCCCAGTATAATTCCCTTTTACAAACGAAGTCTCTTGAAGAAAATGACCCTGATACGCAAACAGTATAAAAATGACGATATGCATTCCACACACTGCAAACTGTGAAACTTGGGATGATGGATTATTCCTGAGTTTTCCCAGTAATACTCATTTATAACTTGGTTCATTAAATTTATGGTGCAAATGAAAGCAATCACTTTTTTTTCTTATTACCTGAAAAAACGTCACCATTGTTTACTTTTAGCTATGGATATGCTCAGTCTAGCTCTTAGAACTTGAATGTCACACACAGCCTGAAAACCCATCCTAACAGGTGAGTCTGAGGCTCACAGAGGGAAAAGGAAGCCTCGCCCTGGGGCTGCAGAGCTCTGAGAGCTCCACGAGCAATGGGATTGGAAGACGAAGAAAAGAGGAAAGTGTGGCTGAAGGTGAGCGTCTAGGTGCTGGTGTCAGTATTAAGACAGTGGTAACGGCCGTGAGCTGCAGCATACAGAAACTACATAGACTGTCTTATTTTCGCTTCCCTAGAACTTTGTTCAAGAAGCTTTGATTAACCTAGTGTACAGATCAGCTGCTAAACAGGTTCAGAGAGGCTTCAAAACTAGCTCCAGATCACACAGCTGGCCAGAGAGAAGCCTCGAGATTCAAAACCACCACAGACTGCCTCCAAGGCCAGTAATGTCTTTACTTCAACAAAATTCAGATACAATAACTATACCTTTAAAAGCCAAGTAATTTTTGTTGCTTTTGTTTGGGGCTTTTTTGAGACACAGTCTCATGTAGCACTATAGCCACAGACGATCCTGAACTCCTGATCCTCCTGCCTCTGTTTGGGCAAAGTGCTTGACAACACTACCATAATGATGCACTGCTCAATTCCGTGGTGTCAAGCCCACTTTGTAGCCTATTGAGTTGTGGCTCTTAAGATGCCAGCAGCATTAGTTGGCCGCCTCTGCATAAACAGTAAGTCTTTCACATCTTTCCATTAATTCTTCACATTTAACATACCTTGAAAACTGTCTCCTTCTTTTGCATTCTTGGGTACGAGGTAAAATGGCTCCAGTCTTAGTTTGGTTCTGACTTTTCTTCCAAGCCAGCTTTCAATGGGAAGTCCTTCCTTAGTGCTAGCAGGCCAGCTGCCTTTTGATTCCAAAGCCAGAATTATGTCCACAGATATCTCCTCAGGGTTTCTGATGAGGAGAGTGACAGCAGGGCTTCCAGGTTTTCCCTCCTCCACACTGACCTCTGTACCTGTGTAAGCACGTTGGAGGCAAGAAGAAGCTATTGATTCAATTTTCTCTGGAAATATAGGGAAAACAATATAACTCTAGTTTAAGATCTATGAAATGCAGCTGGGCATGGCGGCACATGTCTTTAATCCCAGCACTCAGGAGGCAGAGACAGGCAGATCTCTGTGAGTTCAAGACCAGCCTGGTCTACATAGTGAGTTCCAACTGGGGCTGTCTCAAAAAAACCAAAAAATAAAAAAGATCTATGAAATGCTAAGTAAAAAGATGAGCATCAGCTCTGGTACAGAATTATACCCCATAAGGCCAAGAGTTTTATCATTTCATTAATATTTACTAATCAGAAGACACTATCACAATTCTACTACCTGTGATGAAGCACCCCTAAAGACTTTGAGGCTTGCAAGTGCTATAATTACATTTTCATACATAATTTTGGATGGTAGAGAGAAGCCTATAAAAAAGGCCACAGAGGAGCATGTTAGAGAGGCTGAGAACAGAACACGGCAATAGCCTAGCCCAGAGGCAGAAAGTATCGAGAAACAGGAGTAGAAGGGAGAGAAATTAAAGAGGCTCAAATCAGGGCTACAGTGTGGCTCAGTGGCAGAGCTTGCCCAACATGTACAAGGTCCTGAGTTTAATCTGTGATCCCCCCACCAAGAAAAAAATTTTTAGGATGGCCTAGGCAACGCAGTGGGACACTCATCTCTAAATAAACAAACAAGCCCAAATCAACAAAGCTGGTACATGCACTAAATCCATGAGTAAGGAAAGCAGGGCATGAGATCCAATTCCAGGATTCTGACCTGTAAAAATGACTGATGTTGAGGCAGCTAGTGCAGGGGGGGGGGGGGGGGGGGCCCCATGCAGTATGTCCTGTGCTGCCCAGACAAGCAAACAGTCTAGGATACCTAACGGATACAGTCAGGATACCCAAAGGTGACCCCAAGAAACCAAAGGGCAAAGATGTCTTCTTACATTCTCTGCACATCTGCACAAAGAATGTGTAAGAAAAAAAACCAAGAGGCCCCAGTCAATTTTGCTGAGCATTCCAAAAAGTGCTCTGAGAGGTGGAAGACAATGCCCAGCAAAGAGAAATCTAAGTTTCATGACATGGCTAGGGCAGACTGAGTATGCTATGGTCAGGAAATGAAAGATTACGGCGGTAAGGGAGGCCAGAAGGAAAATAACATAATGCTCCCAAAAGAACACCATCTGGATTGTTCTTTTTCTACTCTGAATCCCACCTCAAGATCAAATCCACAAACCCTGGCATCTCCACTGGAGACGTGGTGACAAGGCTGGATAAAATGTGCAATTTGAGGGATAGCAGAAAGCAGCGATGTGTCAGCGAGGCTGCAAAGCCCAAAGAAGTACGAGAAGGATGGTGCTCATTAGAAAGAAAGAACAGATGGAGGCAGAGGACATGGACTCTCCATGCCCAAGTGAAGATGGTCACTGCACAGGCGGTATGGTGGTCATAAGTTCAGGGAGCTTTGGGAGGAGGCGGTATATGAGCTGTAGGCTGCTCCCAGGAATGATTTCTGAGAGTCCCCCAGAGGGGGGCAGTGGAGCACCAGGGTGAAGATGCCGGAGACGTCCGCCTCACTGCATCCTTCTCTTCTGTTACCAGGAGGAAGCATCCTTCCATCTCCTAAAGCCACACCTATTCAAAGACAGAGATCAGATCCCTCCTCTGTCACTTTCCCAAGCCTTTTGCTCTTCAGTTCTTCTCTGTCTTGTGGCCCCTCCCTTTCTCCCGGACCATTTTTACACTGGTACAGAGGACTACAGTCTCCCACTCTAAAACACACCTCTGCTGACTCTACTTCCTCCTTCCCACACTTACTCATATTTTTTTTCTTTTCTTTTTTTAGATTTTTTGAGACAGGGTCTCCCTGTAGCCCCAGCTGGCCTGGAACTCACTATGTAGACCAGGCTGGCCTCAAGCTCACAGAAATCCACTGCTGGGATTAAAGACATGTGCCACCACACCCAGCCCTTCCCCATATTTTGCTTCCTTCCCAGAAACACTTCCTAGAGTTGCCAACACAACTCCTCGTTGCATCCCTTTCACTCTTGGGGTCCATCACGCTACTGAAACTGCTCTTGTCCCAGCCCGGTAAAACAGCGATCCCATGTGCCAACTTCTAGACATCAGCAGCACTCTGTCTCCTGCTTTTCTCATCCTCTTCTCCTGGGCCTCAGGGACCCTCTTTCTATCACTCAGCACTGCAATTTCCCTCCACTGCACTCCTGACACCTCTTTGCTAGACTTTTCACCACAAGGCTTACTACTTTCTAGTACACAGATGCGTATTTATTCAACTTTGTATGACTTGCATGGCTACGCTTACAAGATAGTAAGGCATAGAAGTGTATGGAACTCTTCAACTATTGTTTTTCATTTAATTAACTGTACCTGAGTCAATCAATACTGACTACACTAATGAATAGATGGTTTCCACTGTGCCCAGGTGGTCTCACCCATTCCTAATGTTAACCATGCGTTGATGACTTCCCAATATTTATTTGTAGCCTGGGTGTATCATCTGCTCACCAGACCTAAATCCACTGACATACGTGACCCATCTACTTTTTGTGTCACAAGAATCTCTATCCTACATATCAAATTCAAACTCTTCACATCCCAAAATACATTTCCTGAAGTTTGGATCTTAAAGGCCCTCCAGGTCACACCTTAAAGGCTTGCCCCTCAGGGTGGTGGTATCTGGAGACATGGAGGTTTTTAGGCCACTCTGCATGCCTTTGAAGGGATTGTGGGATCAGTTCCTTCTTTCTTGTTTCTGCTCCACCACATACTCCTACCTTGATGTGTAGCCACAAGCCCAGGGCAATGAGGCCAACCAATCACAGACTGAAGGTTCAAACTGAGCTCTAAGTTAATTCCATCAAATATTTGTTAGAATAACAGAAATCTGACCAACACGATATTCTTCCTCAGTTCTTCTCATTTTAGAGAATAGCACAATCACAACCGATCCACCGAGATGCTCAATCCAGAAACCTGGGAGCTATCTTCATTCAGTTCACTCTTATCCTCTACAATTAAAGCAGCCAGTTACGAGAACACCCTCAGCTTGAGCCTGCCTGCTTCTCTCTACCCTCAGCACCCTATGCCACCCCTCTCAGCTACCACCATCTTGTATTTCAATTATTAAAATAGTCTCCTTTCTGAAGCTAGAGAGATGGCTCAGTGGTTAAGAGCACTGGCTGCTCTTTCAGAGGACCCAAGTTCAGGTCCCAGTGCCTACACTGGGCAGCTCACAACTGCCTGTAACTCTAGCCCCAGGGAATCTGACACCCTCTCCTGGCCTCTGTGAGCACCAGCACTCAACATGTACATAACCACACACAGACACATAATAAAAAATAATAAAATAAATCTTTATTTAAAATGTCAGAGGCAAGAGCATTTCAACAAGTTCAAGACCAGCCTGGACTACATAGTAAGGTCCTGTCTCACAAAAGCAAAAATGGGGTGGGGGAGCTATTTGAGAGAGCAGAGGTATCAGGAGAGGTGTGCATGTTGGTAATGAGTAGGTAGCATCAGGTCTGCAAGAATCAAAAGCACAAATCTTACCTTTAATGTTTTTAACTTCTTCCTCAATGATTTTCCTAAACTTAGACAACATCTTGGAAGCTGATAACATTTCCTCTTCTAAAAACTGATTTAGAGGATTTCCATTCGGAAGTCTTTTGAACTTCACAAAGTAATAAGCACCAGTGTTACAATATTCTTGTAGCTCAATTCTGGGGACTTCCAGTTTAAACATGACATCAAATTCATTAGGTGCAGAAATCTAAGGAACAGTAAAAATACCATTGAAATACTTCCTTGTGAATACGTTCCAAACAACTGCGTTTTTCTTCTTGAAATTTCTACTTGAAGCTCTACTTTGAACAAGATTCATCCCATCTAGGAGCAGGATCACTGGGGCTAGCAGAGCTAGAAGAGAACTTGTAACTGCTTTTAGCTTGTGGAATCTATTCCTCAATTCTTCTTTCTTTATCTGAGAGCAACCATGTTTGCTTTACTTATTTGATTATTTGTTTTGAGACAGGGTCTTACTCTGTAGCCCAGGCTGGCCTGGAGTGCACTGTGTAGCTAAGGACTGGACTAGAACTCATGATAAAATTTCTGCCTCAGACTCCCAAGTGCTGAGATTACAGATGTTAACTACTATACCTGGCAAATTTCTATAATTAAAATAACTGTAAATGATATTTAGCTTTTAAAATCCATCCCAGTTGCTTCTTCTGAATTTAAAGTTTAATAAAATTAAAAACCTTTAGGATGGTACCTTTTATATCACAAGATACAGACTGCAGCCACCCTTCTGTCACAATGGTCACAGAAATGTGTGTTGACACCAATAATCTCAGCCCTTCGAAGACTAAGGCACGGGGATTACAAGTTCAAGGCCAACCTGGGCACACAATGATCCCTGTCTCAAAAAGAAAAAGAAACAAGGCTGGAAAGATAGCCCAGTGGTTAAGAGCACTCGCTACTCTTGCAGAGGGCCTGGGTTCAATCCCCAGCACCCATACCCATCTGTAACTCCAGTTCCAGGGGATCTGACACCCTCTTCTGAACTCCTTGGGTACTGCATGACTCTGGTGCACTGACATACAGGCAAACACTCATACATAGAAAATAAAAATAAAAATAATTGTTTGGTTTTTCTTGTTTTGTTTTGTTTGTTTGGTGCAGGATCTCCCTGTTGCTCCAGCTGACCTGGAACTTGCTATGTAGACCAGGCTGGCCTCAATCTCACAGAGATCCATCTGCATCTGCCTCCTGAGTGTAATCTAACTTTTCATCTTCACAATAATCATAGCAATTATAATAAATATTTTTCCTATATTAAAAATATAGGAAGCTGGGCCTGGTGACACATACCTTTAATCCCAGCACTCAGGAAGCAGAGGCAGGCAGATAGATCCCTAGGGGATCTGGTCTAATAGCAAGTTCCAGGCCAGCTGGGGCTATAGGGATACTGTCTCAAAAGACTAAAAAAGTAAAAATCAGTAACACAGATGGATGGGAATATAGCTCAATTGGTAGAATATTTGCCTAGCATGCATGAAGCCCTGGGTTCAATCCTCAGCACTATATAAACTGTGCATCGTGATACACACTTGTAATCAATCCCAACACTAAGGAGGTGCAGGCAGGAGGATCAGAAGTTGGCAGTCATCCTTGGCTACACACTGCATTAAAGGCCAGCCTGGGATAGATCACACCCTACCTAAAAACCCAAAATAAATAACACAAGGCCTTCCACTGTTAGAGCTATACTTTAAGTACAGCTATAAGACTGCACTGTTCAATAAAGAACCAACAGCCACATCTGTCTGCTGACCATATTAAATGTGGCTAGTCCAAAAAGATCTGTGTGATGGACTCCTGAAACCTGTATGTTGAAGCCTTACCCACAACGTAACTGTATTTGGAGACAGGGCCTTAAGGAAATAACTCAGGTAGACATGGTCCTAACCTGATAAGCCGTATAAGAGCACATGCAGGTACCACATACATGCCCTGAGGAAAGACCATGTAAACACAGTCAGAAGGAATCCAGCTACAACGAAGAAGGTTCTTACTAGATTGAAACCATGCTCATAACCCAATTTTTAAAAATAATTGGCAGGATAGTGTGGAAATGAATTTTACAGTATGGATATGCTCTAGACAAATGACTGTTACTCAACCTTGCAACTAAAAGTTAATCTTATCATAGCTTGTTTATAATGTAAACAAGCCTACTGGGTCTTGAGCTCCTCTTGTAACCTAAAGCATGAAGCTGTAATCCCTCATGATCCTGCCTTGTCTTTGACCCACAACAATGTATGAATGTGTATGTTCTACAAACAGCTGGCATTTGCTGAATATCAAGCTACAGACAGCTGATATTTGTTGAAAGCAACAGACTGTCTTCTTCGTGTTGCAAATAATAGATGGGATTAAACTGATAACATCTCTGTGATTATATGCATACTGTCCTGGGTCAGTAGGAGTCAGAAGGAACAAACTCCTGATAAGGGTCTGTACTTATACTTCCCCATTTTATGCTGGATATAATGTTGCAAGAAAAGAAATCAAGTCCTTGTTCAAGAGCATAATTCTGGCAGAATTCTTGACTAAAATGGACGCTAAGAGTCAGGCCGTCTTTATTCAAGCATTGCCATAATGTGGCATCACACAGTGATGCTGCAGAAGAGTAGAACATATGAAATCAAAGCAGAGGGGTTAAATGACTAAGTAAAGATGGGGGTGTGAGATGGAGAGAGGAAGGGGTGGCAGGTGGCTTAACCAAAACCAATAGATCCTTGGATCTATGAAAAAGCCTTATAGAGACCCACTAGTTAGTGAACTAATTTCAAAAGACAAAAAAAAAAAAAAAAAAGAGTTCAGGGGCTGGAGAAATTGCTGAGCAGTCAAGAACACTGGCTGTTCTTGCAGAGGACCCAGTTTTGATTCCTAGCACCCTCATGGTAGCTAACAACCATCCATAACTCCAGTCATATTTTATTTGTATATTTATTTTTTATTTCTACTTTAATATCTTTTTGAGACAGCGTCTCCCAGTAGCCCCAGCTGGTCTGGAACTTGCTATGTAGACCAGGCTGGCCTTGAACTTACAGAGATTCACCTGCCTCTGCCTCCCAAGTTGTGGGATTAAAGGCATGTGCTACCATGCCTGGCTTATTTTAATTTTTTTTTTTTCAGTCTTTTTGAGACAGAGTCTCCCTGTAGCCCCAGCTGTCCTGGAACTTACTATGTAGACCAGGCTGGCTTTGAACTCAAAGAGATCTGCCTGCCTCTGCCTCCTGAGTGCTGGGATTAAAGATGTGTGCCACCATGCCCAGCCTTATTTTAACTTTTTTATGTGTATGAATGTATTGCCTGTATGTATGTAAGTACATCTGTGTCATGCAATGCCTGAGGAGGTCAAAAGAGGGCGTCCAATTTCCTTGGAACTGGAGTTACAGATGGTTGTTAGTGGCCATGTAGGTGCTGAGAATTGAACCTGGATCCTCTGCAAGAGCAGTCAGTGCTCTTAACCACTGAGCCATCTCTCCAGCCCAATAAAATATTTTTTTAAATAATCTTTTTTTAAAAAGGAGTTCAAACAAAATTACCTTATATGGATGAATAATGCCATTTCCAGAAGACATGGGTTATTAAATGAAAATAACAATGCAAGACATGGAATCATGAAATTCCTCTTCTTTTTTTTTTTTTTTTTTTTTTTTTTTTTTGAGACAGGGTCTCCCTGTAGCCCCAGCTGTCCTGGAACTATGTAGACCACGCTGGCTTTGAACTCACAGAGATCCGTCTGCTTCTACCTCCTAAGTGCTGGGGCTACAGGCGTGCGCCACCATGCCTGCATGGGATTCCTCTTTACAAGCTAATTATCAGGGAAGTCTGAGATCCCCAAACAAGAGGCAATTGCCACTGACTGTTCTTGGTTAGCCACCATAACTACATGATAAGATCCTGTAACTGAAGAAACTATACACTTTGGCTACAGGACAGAGAAAAATCAGTCTCCAGCCAACAGAGAAACTTCCCCCTGCTGGCTAGTTTTTACAGTGCCAGAAGGTGCTCTGCAGGCTGCTGGGGAAGAAAAAGCGCTAATGGTCTTACCTAGTACTGAACATGCATGCTGCAGTTCCAACCTGCCAGGAAAGATGTGCCCACTGCTGCAATAGTGGCATGACTGTTATGAGGTAACTAACTGCTTTCTGATTAGATTTGAGGTCTGTCCCACAGGAGGGAATTTCGTGTCTGGTACTAGTCCCGGCCAAAAGTCCATGGCTAGGGAGGTAGAGGAAAGGGGGTTAGGTCTTCAAGGCTAGCCTTGGTTACAATGTGAGCTCCAGGGCAGCCAGAGACACATGAGACCCTGTCTCAAAGTCAAACCAGTCAGATGAGGTGGCACACTCCTTTAGTCCCAGCATTTGGGAGGCAGACGCAGGCAGATCTCTGTGAGAGTGAGGCCAGACTGATCTACATAGTGAGTTCTAGGCCAGCTGGGGCTGCAGGGAGACCCTGTCTCAAAAAAAGAAAAAGATTTACCTCTCAGTGTGCTTTCTCTCTGCTTTTTCTTGTCTGCAGGGAGTATTCTCCAGTCAAGGTCATTTTGATAATGTGTCAAAAGGCTCTTCTAAATGCAAAGTTTTCCTAATTCTCTGGTGCCAAATGGGGGGAAAAAGGTGGCAAAGTCTAAGCAGGATGGAGATTTTCTGAGACTTGCAAGATTAAAAAAAAAAGTGTGGTAGTTAAAAATATACATACAGGTACTCTTAATTTACTACAATGTGTCATGTATGTAATTCGGATTCAACTCTAGTTTAAAAAAATAAAATGAAAAAGGAACAGTAAGTAGATGATAATTAATGCAAAAATAAGGCTGGAGAGATGGTTCAGCAGTTAAGAGCACTGACTGTTCATGCAGAGGGCCTGGGCTCAGCTCCCAGCACCCGCATGGCTGACAACTGTCTACAACTCCAGTTCCAGGGGAAGTCAACACACTCTTCTGATCTCCATGGACACTGCACTATACCAGTGCACTTACATACATGCAGGCAATACACTCATACATGTAAAAATAAAAATAATAAATTTTAAAAAATAGAATGTAAAAATAAAGATTTTTTAATAAAAAAGGAATTCTATATAAAGATTAAGATGGTTAATGGTTTTCCAGAATGATGAAGACAACTAAAAACCTAAACAAGTCATAAAGGGTTTAAGTTGGTTATATAAGGTAAATAAAGGATAAGATTTAGAGGCTATATATGTATAAAATATTAAAATGGTTATGGTCAAAGCTCAATAAATTGATATCAAACCTCTACTTAAATCAAGAGTTACCATATATTATTAATCTGCTCTTGGTAATGGTTACAAGTAATTAAATGATCAAAGGGATTTAAAGGGACAATAGTTTGCCCCTCGTCCTCCAAAGTCAACTAGGTTCCAAGGGACTGTAATAAGCCCTCAAACTGCCCTTTAGCTCTGGTAAGTCCCCCGTCCTATTGTTCAGGGAGGCCAATGGAGACTCCACTGAGTGAACACTAACAAGTATCCATTCTACAAAGAGGAAGTGGGGGGCAACACCAAGGAAAAAAATTCCCTCCACACTTCCAAGCAAAGCCATGACGTGCCCTGACATAGATGAAACAACTAGGAAAAGGAACCAAAGGAGCCAAAGGCTCCTCCCAAGCCCAAGTGACCCATGAAATGCCCAACAGAAAAGCACAGCCAAAGATTAAAATGAGAGCCGGGCATGGTAGCGCATGCCTTTAATCCCAGCACTCAGGAGGCCGAGGCAGGAGGATCACTGTGAGTTTAAGTCCAGCCTGATCTACATAATGAGTTCCAGGCTAGCTGGGGCTGCAGGGAGACCCTGTTTCAAAAAACAAAAAAGAACAAAAAACAAAACAAAACAAAAAACACTTAAAATTAGAAGCCGAAGAGATGACTCAATGGTTAAGAGTACTGGCTGCTCTTGCAGAGGACCTGGGTTCAATTCCCTGAAACTACATGGAGACTAACAACAATCTCTAACTCCAGTTCCAGGGAATCCAATGACCTCTTCTGGCCTCTGTGGGCATTGCATGTATGTGGTACACTTACATGCAGACAAAACACTCATATACAAAATAATTTCTAAAAGTTTTTAATTAAAATGATTTGTTTAACATGCTAAGGGATCAAACTCCTCAAACATCAGACTCAAACCCCTATGAGGTATTTTTTAGAGAATTTCTCATTAATGATTTTTTTGGTAAGAAAAATGTTGCCCAGATATAGGACATCACGACCTTGACTCAATCCAACCCTACAACACCTAGCTATAAGCAAGACAGACAGACCCACTATTGTTTCAACCTATAAATCAAATGATGGTTAAATTTCTTCTCTCTCTCCTCTCTAAAAGCCATCTGTGAAGGATATCTCACTGTGGTTCCAGGCACTCCAATAGCTATCGAAGTGCCTGAAAGCAGATTCCGGGTTCATCACAATCAAGTGTAGCCTTGGAGACCAAAGAAGGAAATGAGGTGCCCAATGGATGAATGCTCTTGTGAGCCTATCAAGGGACCCTAATGTCCTTTGACTTGAGCATCTTGAAAATATCCTCTGTTCCTGGCTGGCTGCCTGCTTGGGTTTATAATGCTTATAACTCTTGTCTTTCCTTCTCATGCACATCTCTATCCAGGTGCCAGCCAAGGACCTCCTTTCCTCTCTATACCTGGCTGTTATACAGACGGAACTACCAGTAGACATTTGGGGTCCCCAGTATGACATGTAGGGACACCACTGGAGGGGTGTCCCAACTGCCATATCAGATGATCCCCAACCAGTAGGAAGAAGTAGGATTCAGTAATTACTCCAACTCCCTAAATGGCAATTAAGGTTACCTCTTCAAGGTGGGGAAGGAAGATGAGAACAGGTCATAGAAATAAGACAGCAAGTTCAGGATGGGGAGCCCCAAAACAATAGTTCAAAAATGTCTTTGGTTTTCTGGCCAGGAATATAAAAGGGAGCCTTGATTTCTTGTCTCACCAAATGAGTCACCCCATCTGGAAGCTCATTGAGAAAGAAAAATCTAGTTCAGAGAGTAATCCCTTCTCCACAACAGCTTTTGGAATTAATCTCTAGACTTTCATGGTAAAAACTAGTTACCTCATTTCCCAATTTCAGCCCATCGTTTCTTTGTTGTTTTTTTTAATCTTTTTGAGACAGGGTCTCCCAGTAGCCTCAGCTGAACTGGAACTATGTAGACCAGGCTGGTCTTGAGCTCACAGAGATCGGCCTGCCTCTGCCTCCCAAGTACTGGGCCCATCTCTTAAATGATTGTTACCTCTTCGGAGGGGATAATGGAAAGAATGGAATCCCAGGTGGTGACATGCCCTAGTCTCCTCCCTTAAGTGTTAATCCAGTGAGGCAGGTTAGAGACCTGGGTAGGTGATACCCTTAAAAAGATGGGAACCTACCTTAGGATAATCTACTTTTCCTTCCCAAAACTCCTGCCCCCTAGAGCAATCTCCACCAACCCAGTGGCCGTGAGGTTCAACTGGGTATGCCCACCTTTCTGAGTTCTGACTCCAAGAGGCCTGTCTTTTTCTTCTCTTGCATCTTCTTGTTTCAAATGCTGGGCAGAGCCTAAGCATGCTTTGGAACTCCCTCATGCTTTGACCTTCCTTGCTCTTTTTCTAAAGCTCCCTTTGTGCGGCTGCCTACCCCAGGTGGCTCACCTCCACCTGCCTGATCTCAAGCCTTTGTTCCTTCTCACCACATTCTCCTCTTCCCTTCCAGGCAGCTGAGATTTACAGGGTGCCTGCTGTGGGGTTTTCTTTTTAAACTCACAGGGCTGTGGCTGTGGGGTTTTCCTTTTAAACTCACAGGGCTGTTGGGATGGCTCAGTGGGTAAGAGCACTGGCTGCCCTTGCAGAGAACCGGGGTTCCATTCCCAGCACCCACATAGCGGCTAACGACTGTCTGTAACTGCAGTTCCAAGGGAATCCAACGTCCTCTTCTGATCTCCACAAGCACGGCATGACATGGGTGCAGGCAATACACTCACACACAAAATAAAAATAGTAAGTAAAAAAATTTTTTGGTCTTTTTTTTTGGAGAGTTTCCCCGTAGCCCCAGCTGACCTTGGAACTATGCAGACTAGGTTGGCCTTGAACTCACAGAGCTCTGTCTGCATCTGCCTCCCAGGTGCTGGGACTGGCGCATGCCCGGTAATAAAATGTTATTTTAGAAAATAGTTCACCAACTTTCAATTTGTATGGACACGAATATTCTGACTCAACCATTCACAAACAAATGTAGCTGTGTAAGAAGCCTTAAAGCAAGTACAGTGGACTGTATTTAGGAAATACAGTTCTTTCGTATCTGTAAGAAAACCTTTCATTTTTTTCAAATCTTTACTATGAGTTTTCTGTGACAACTGTATGAGATTGTTTTTAAGAACTTCTATTTATTTATTTTTGAGATAGGGTCTCATATATTCCAGGCTGGCCTGGAACTTGTTATGTAGCTGATGAGATTTGACCATCCAACCTCCCTGCCTATGTCCTGAGCGCTAGGATTGCCAGTACACACTACCACAAGCCAGCTGCTGTGGAGCTGGACACAGAACCCATGTTCAGTGGGGCATGGTGGAGCAGGCAGAAGTAGATCTCGGTGGGTCTGAGCCAGCCTGGTCTACATGGCAACACTACCAACTCCATTCCCATTTCCTTGTATGGCATTTTTGAAAGAAAGGCTGGTAGTGAAACTCAGATGCATAATCCCTTGCACTCATGAAGCCCTGGGTTCAATTCCCAGCACCGCAGCACGATAAAAAGGAAGTTAGAGAAGGAAGGACTAACTGGAGGGTGGATTTTAAGGGAGAAGAGTTGAAGTTTTTTTTATCTCTTCAGTAAAAGTTTGCTAGATATATTAATTTACTAATTTTGGTCAGCGATCACTTCAAATGATCCAAGTCAGAATTTGATTTAGGATTGCAGGTCAACAACCCACCAGGCACTCTCTCTGTTCAAGAAACTCCACACGTCTGCTGGCCGGAGTAAACCTACACGTCGGAATTCCTCCGAAGACGCTGTGTTTCGTGGTAGCTAGCAATCACCGTTGATTGCTGTATGCGCACTGGATACATGGATGGATCAGCAAACTTTAACCGTCACAGGCCACCAACAACCAAGAGAGGAATCCCGAGCCCAGGGATGCGGGGAATCCCAGGGAGATAGGGAGGCAGGCAGGGCGTAGGCTCGGAGCACCCGCTCCAGGAAACAGCAGGCAATCCTGGGCTCACCTTCACGTGCTCGTAGTAACTCCCAGTGTTCATCAGGGCCAGGTCTTTGAACTCCGACTCCCGGTTCCGCACTCTCCGGAGCAGGTGCGCCACGACCCCATTGACCACCTTGGCCGCCACCGAGATTTCCGCGCGTCTCAACCTCAATTTGTCTAGCACTGGCCGGGGATTCCAGTCGTCTGACGCCACCTCCCTCAGTCCGAGGCTCCTGGCCCGCAGCTCCCTGGATGTCGGCGGGGCTCTGGGCTCCCGCACAGAGCGCGCCCCTCTCCCTGGCCGAGGCCCGGCTGCGACCGCGGGCGGCTCGGGGCTGGCGGACTGCTCCGGGTCTCTCTCCGGTAGCGCGGGTGCTTCGTCCGCAGTGGCGGGCTGAGCATCTTTCGTGCGCACCAACGCCCTCCCGGGGCGCGCTCGAGGCCCGCGGGCTCGCGGCTCACCCGACGCTACCCGGGTGCTGGGCTCGGGTCTGGAGCGCGCGCCTCTCCCGCGGCGAGGCCCCGCCTCATCCTCTGGGTGCTCGGTGTCACCCGCGGTGGAGCGCGGAGCATCCTTCCTGCGCACCGACGCCCTCCCGGGGCTCACTGGAGGCGCGCAGGCTCCAGGCTCACCCGACGTTGTCGGGATGCTGGGTCCCCTCCGGGAGCGCGCGCCTCTCCTGGGGTGAGGCCCCGCTGCGTCCTCCCGGGACCCGGTATCGGCGGGCGGCTCGGGGGCGGTGGGCTGAGCATCCTTCGCGCGCACTGACGCCCTACCGGGGCGCGCTCCGGGCGCGCAGGCTGGCGGCTCCCCCGTGGAGGCCCCGGTGCACTCCGCCCGCAGCGATCGCGCCCCCCTGGCTCGGCCGCAGCTTCCCGCGTGGGGCCTGGCGGCCCGGGTCCCGCTGGGCTCGGCCGGGGTGTCGGTAGCACCGGGCTCCCAGGCGTCCGCGCCGGCAGCTCCGGCCCGCGGAGAGTTCCAAGTTGTCCTTACACGTCTAGAGTCCATGATCCGAGGCTCCTGGCTGCCAGAAAGGAGAATCGACTTCGAGGAAAGGGCGGCGGGAAGAGGAACTCTCAGTGACGGCTTAAAAACGAAACTTAAACATCTGGCGGGAACTTATGCAGCCTCTGGGACAGGAGGAGCCTATGGGAGGTCACGCGGAGCACGCTGCAGCCAGGAAGAGGCGGTCCAGGAGAGTAGAACTTTCTCACCCGGCAGTGAGAAAGACTAGTCACCAGCCTGGAAACCACCCTAACTTAACCGCAACGTCCCAGAAGACAGTCAGCAGCTTAGACAGCCAAATTTGCTGACCTACCACCAAAAATTATTTTGGGACATTGCAGGCTCTTGCACATTTGAAGTTGATAAAAACGTATTCGATATAAGCTTTAAGTAAGTTATTAATCAGAAATAGAAATATACTCAACCTTTACAAGATAGAATATGAGTAACTGGAATTATTTTAATTGACTTTCTGAAAAAGCACACAAGAACTTTTTTAAAAAATTATGTGTATATGTGTGGGTTTGTGCACTGGAGTACAGTGCTGGAGTTGGCAGGAATCAAACTCAAGTCCTCTGGAAGAGCGGTATGTGCTCTTAACCATCTCTCCAGCCCCCAGCATATAAGGTCTTAAAGAATTTGTTGAAATTTCCTGAGTTTCCTAAGCAGCACAGTATAAACCAGCCACACTATCTGGGCCGTGATTCGAGTGTCTCAATGCAGGATTTCAGATAGTTGTTTCTAAAACTAATCTTTTCTAACAGTGCCTTCTCCTTTGAAAGTTGTCCTTAGCAGAATTTCTTTTACTTCTCTGCCTTTTGCTGGACATTCTTTTAAAAGCTGCCCTTGAGTAATTAACAGCTAGGTTTTTTCTGTTGATTTATAAAGCCCAGGCCATCACAGCCTTCAGCTAACATCAGAATGTAATGCCGTTCCTTATTACATAGTTCTGTACATCCACTAACATAAAGCCTGTGAATTGCTGTGATGTTTAACTTGCAAGTGTGCATGCGTGTGTGTGTGTGTGTGTGTGTGTGTGTAGCCTCAGGAGGGCAAGATTGATTTTAGTGTCTGAACAGAGGGAAAAAATGGAGAGACATAGCCTGGTTAGAAAGACACTGTTGCGCATGAAGCCATCCCCCTGCCCCAACTCCTTCCCTTCTGTATGAACACCCTTTTCTGCACATTAGTGCCCCAGGATGGAAACTTGTCTTCTGAGCATTGATTTTTGAATAGCAAGCAGCCAGATCAGAAACACTTCTTCCTTTACAGAATTATATTTTAGACATGAATCATCTGGGTTTAGAATCCCTGGATTTGTTTTGTTGTTGCTGTTATTGTTGTTGTTATTGTTGCTGTTGAAAAACATCTTAACCATTTTTTTGGTTTTGTTTGTTTTGAGACAGGGTCTCCCTGTAGCCCCAGCTGGCCTGGAACTCTGTGTAGACCAGACTGGCCTCGATCTCCTGGAGATCTGCCTGCCGATGCCTTGTGAATGCTGGGGTTGAAGATGTGTACCACCACACCGGATTCATCTTAGCCATTTATGAGTGCAGTTTAGAGGCCAGCATGATGGTTCAATGGGTAAAAGCCTGATATCCAAGTTTAATCTGTGAAACCCATATAAAGGTGGAAGGAGAGAATCAATTCCACAAGGTTGTCCTCAGACCTCCATGTGTACTGTGGCACATTTCCCAGCACACACACGCACACACACACACATACACACACACACACACACACACACACGCACAGAAGAAAGAGACAGAGAGAGAGGAGAGAGAACACAAACTAAATGTACAGCTTAATGACAACTCCATTTATATTGCTGGGCAACCATCACCACCATGCATCTCCAGAAGTCTTCATCCTGCAGTATTAAACAACTACTCCCACTAGTCTCTGGCAATCATCACTCTATTCTCTGCCTGTAATTTTGACTACTTGTAAGTACTTTCAACTCAGTGGAATCATACTGAGCTGCACTCCCAGTCTTTATATGTCAAATTTGTCTCTAGTAATTCACTTAGTCACTCTATAAATACTTGACTGTCTCCTGTATGTCAGGCTCTCATCTTGGCTCTTGGGGTTTGCTGACAAAGATTCTTGTCTTCTGAGAGCGTGTGTTCTGTAAGGGAGAAACAGGCACTAAACAACATGCTGTGTGCATTATTTCGCTTGTTAGATGATAAGCTCTAGTGAAAGAGGAAAATGGTGCAAGAAGGTTAAGGAACGAGGAACGGCACTGTCCTATAATCCTGAGAGAGTGAAATCTGAGCAATGATTTCTTTGTATATTTTTATTGACTCTTTGTGTGTTTCATACAAAACATCTTAATCATCTTTATATTCCTTCCCCTGTCCAAACCCTCCCATAGCTCCCCACTTACTGGGTTGCATGCATTCTGTCATTTACGTTAAAGCCTATCTAGTCAAGTTAGACGTACCTCAGTACAAGAGTACAAGTTCATCCACTGCGGTCTAGTCAGCCTATGTAGAGTCACTCCATTAAACAACATCAGCTCTTCCTCACTGAGCAGTAATCAGCTGCCAATAGTTCTTTGACTAAGATTGAAATCTGCTGCCCATTTCCACAGTTCTATGCTGGGTTTTAGTCTACTTGAGTTTGAATGGGTCTTGTACATGCTGACACCATTGCTGTTGATTCATATGAGCAAGGTCCCAGGAACCTGCAAGACATTGTTTCCATATGGTCATGCGCCTCCTCCCCTGGCTCTTACAGTCTTTCCACCTCCTCTTCCAAAATGGTTCCTGAACCCTGGGTGGGTGGAGTTTAATATGAGTCCCGTCCAAGGACCCACACTCTGAAGACTCTTATTCTCTATGCATTGGCCATTTGTGGTCTTTTATGTTCATTGCCCCCTGTTGCATGAGGGAGCTTCGTTGATCAGAGTTGAGGGATGCATTAGTATTCTCTCTACACCTTGTTCCACTGTGTTCTGTGAACGTTAGGTGTAGAGGTTCCATTGTAGATGTGCCACTTAGGGTTGGGCATTTCACAGACACTTATTCTCTGTGTCTGACCAGTTGTAGAACTCTGTAACAGTCTCCTTATGTTACAAAAGGAGTTTCTTTGATGAGTAGTGACTGGCATACTTGTCTGTAAATATAAGGATCCATATTTAGCATATAGTAAGAAATTACATTTGTCTAGGGATGTGACAGCCTTAGAGTTTTCTCTAAGACCTGTGACCTCTCCAGCCACGTATATTTGGCATGATTACAGTACTGCACATGAGTTCCCTCCCACTGAGTGGGCTTCAAGTCTAATTAGGTAACTGTTGATTACCCCCAAGATAAAAGTGCCACTGGTGCTCTAATGTAGTTTGCTGTGCCAGTCATTGTTGTGGCTATTAGGTCTTGAAGCTGGGGTTGGACCATAGATGGATGTTCTCCCTTAGCAGCTTGCATAGTATCCTCCAAAATTATGAGTGCTAGCCTTCAGGGAGGTGGGTTCCAGGTCAGTTCTAGCTCCATTGTTGAGCAATGATTTTAATATTTTATTATTTTTATTTTTTGTGTATGAATGTTATGCCTGGATGTAGGTAAGTGCACTTGTGTCGTGCAATGCCCGAGGAGGACAAAAGAGGCTGTCATTGGATCCCCTGGAACTGGAGTTATGGACAGTTGTTAGCTGCCATGTGGGTGCTGGGACTTGAACCCAGGTCTTCTGCAAGAATAATCAGTGTTCTTAACCGCTGAGCCATCTCTCCAGCCCTTGAGCAATGATTTTAAAGGGGGCATATTTCACTGTAACGTTGTTTTTCTGTGTATATGAGTCTTCCTAGGTAATCATAAAATCTTAGGCTCAATTGTGGTGGCACATGTCTATCTATAGTTCCAGCTACTCTGGAGGCTAAGGCAGAGCGTCATTGAGCCCAGAAGTTTAAGACCAACCTGAGAAAGCAAGAAAGCCCTTGTCTCAAACAACAAACCTAAGGACCTCAAAACAAAGGTTAATAAACTAAGTTCCCAAAAAGAAGAGATCTGTCTACTTTCACAATTGAACTCTAGTCAGTCATATGTTTATTCTATGCCTAAACGTTCTGGTTCTAGGTCCTTGAATGTTTTTGTAGAAAAGATAAGTTTCTCAACTGAATGTACAACATGTGAAGGGATTACTGTCTAGCCTTCAAAATGTAGGTGGGAGGAATATTCACAGGTAAACCTCAGGTGGATCTATGATTCTTTAATGGCTCAAGATAGTGGTTTAAAACATTTAAGAAATAGTATATTTCAGCCAGGGAAGCCCATCCATATAATATCAGCACTCATACGGTTGATGCAGGAGGATCATGAGTTCAAGGTCGGCCTAGGCTACATAGTGAGACCCTGTTTCAAAAAAGGAGGACTGGGCATGGTGGCAAACACCTTTAATCCCTGCACTCAGGAAGCAGAGGCAGGTGATGTCTGTGAGTACAAGTCCAACTTAGTTCATACAGTGAGTTCCAGTCCCCCTCCCCCTAAAAAACAAGAGGCAGTGGGGAGAAAAAAAATTGGTAACTCATAGCCCTTGAAAATATGCATTTTTAGTCACTGGCACAAAAAATTGTTCACTGCAAACTGTTATATTAAATAACATTAAAAACAATTTCATACAGTATGATCTCAACTTTATTATTTATGGTTAAAATTTACACATTCACTTCTGAGCTGGACATGGTCACATGTTCTACACACCTGTAATCCCACATTTGGGTAACTAAGGTAGGAGGATGGAGAGTTCAAAGGTGTCAGTTTGGGCTACATATCAATAACCTGTCTCAAAAAAAAAAAAAAAATCCAAGCCAGTCACAGTGGCAAAAACCTATACTCCCAGCACACAGCAGGCTGAGGCAGAAGGATTACCACCATGGGATGCAAAGTGAGTCCATGTCTTAAAAATACAACAGGAGCCAGGGAAATGGCTCCATGGGTAAAAGTAAGTAAACCCCCACCCCATGCTCTGTTAGCAAGCCCAATAAACTTAAGATCCAAACAGAGCAATCTTGGAGAATTCTTGACCACTTATGTCTCCCAGAAGTAAAATTTAACTACATCTAGCTTAATGCAACAATTTTATTGGGGTAACTTACAGGAGTATGGGTGACTCAAAGACAACTCCACCATGGAAAAGCCTAACCCAGCATGGCTGACAACTCACAAAAACTACATCCCTGGAGTTCCCTGCAAGACTTGCAGGCAGCTCTGCTGGTCAGGAGTCTCCTCTCCTTAGCAATGGTTACTACTTTTATAACCTAGGGGTGGGGATGGAGGGAGGAACCTGGCAGTTTGTGAATCTTGTTTCAGCTCCCTGACACTTGTACATTTTATTTTCTTCTGGAGTTTTATGAGACTCCCTCCTCCTCCAGGAGGTAATTCTATTTCAATTCAGAAGAAATTGCCATTAAAGGTGCACAAAAATAGTCACTAGCAACAAAGTACTGACATTCTTGTGGAGATAGACTACTTGTGGAAGTTATAGGTTCTTTAATTCACCAAGTCCTGTATTTATGCAACGTTTAAATTGTATATAAATAGGGGCTGGAGAGATGGCTCAGCGGTTAAGAACGCTGTTCTTGCAGAAGACTCCAGTTCGAGTCCCAGCACCCACACACAGCTAACAACTGTCAGTAACTCCAGTTCCAGGGGCTCCAACACCCTCTTCTGTCCTCCGCAGGCATTGCACAACATGGGTGCATTTACATAGTTATGCAGGCATAACACTCATACACATAAATAAAAAGATTTTTAATTGTATATAAATAATGGGGGGGTGTTTTAAGTGACTATGTCTCACTATGTTGACCCACTTGACTTTGAATTTGAGGCAATCCTCTTGCCTCTGGCCCCCAAGTGCTGGGATTTCAGGCATGTACCACCACACTGGGCTAAGCATATTTATTAATATAAACAACAAATTATGTTTTTGATGATTTTGTTGATCAGAGCAAATCAGAGGTGCCAGTCAGTCAAGTCAGTGAAGGCTCTAAGGATGTTAATTTCCAAGGGGTCGGACCATCCCTTAGTTACACGATTTCTCCACAAATAAAATCTGAATTCACTTCAAGGCTAACCGACTTTCAGACTCCAGCTTTTACTAACAGAAAGTTATAATTCAAACAAGACGCAGAGGACAACTGATGAAATTTGTTCGAGGCGGTCAGCACGTGAGGGAAAGGGCAGCCTGCCAGCACTACGGAAGAACGCACACTGTGCCGGAGCCACCTGGCAGCCACGCGGGCGCTGGGGGGCGGGTCTCCAAGCCGCCAATCACAGGCGGCGATGCGCGCACGCTGCGTCCTGACGCAGGGAAGATGGCGGCGCCCTGCGGGTTTCCGCTAGCCCAGCTGCTGTAGTCGTCCCGGCTTCTCCACCATGTTCTCGCTCCGAGGCTGCGGCCGCTGGGCCGTGGTGTCGCTCTGCAGGCGCCTTCCTTCGGCCCGCTCTCGCGGGGACAGCACGGCGCCGTGGAGCCCACGCTTCGACGTGGTAGTTATCGGCGGAGGCCACGCGGGGACCGAGGCGGCGGCGGCAGCCGCTCGCTGCGGCTCGCGGACCGTGCTGCTCACACACCGTGTGGACACGATCGGTGAGGTGCTCCGTACTTGGTCTGCGGGCCGGGACCCAGCGCCTGTCCGAGCGCGGGTGGGTGGCCGCGGTGAGTGGGGGAGGGTTGTAAGACGCAGCCGCTCGGTGGATGGTGCGTCCTGCGCCGGCCTGGCCCCTTCAGGTGAAAGGCGAATGAACCAGCGTTCATTTATTAAAAACACTGAAGAGTGTTGAGCGAGACTTTGTGAAGCTTTTCTGAAAAACGGCGCTATTCCTTCTCTTTAATCTAGCGCTCTGTTTCCGGGTTGGCCTGGGGCCCACTGCGTAAACCAGGCTGGCTGCCTGCCCCGGGAGCCCCGCCTGCCTCCCAGCCCCGGGAGCCCCGCCTGCCTCCCAGCCCCGGGAGCCCCGCCTGCCTCCGCCTCCGGAGCACTTGGCGTTGAAGGCGTGCACCACCATGCCCAGCTAACCTAAGTTCTTTTGCATGTGTATCCGGTAATGCAAAACTTGTATTCTATCAATACAGTGTGATCAGTTTCAGTACGTTTTAGAGATATAACATAAATGAGCTTAGTGAATGACAATTCTATTTTTGAAATTAAAAGATTGCTTTAAGATAATTTCGTAAGTATCAACTTATTCCTCAGTGGCTTCAAAGAAGAAAGATAGCTTTGGCTTAGAAGGCTCATCTGTAGAAATGCAGAAAGCAGGAGTGAGTGGTTCAGTCTTATTTGCTAATATCGCCTTTATTTGAAGTCAGAAGAGCAAGTATTTTTGTTTATACTAACTTGCAAATTATTTTGGGCATCTTAATGAGATGGTAAAAATGTGCATCTAGGAAAAGATTCCAGAGTTCAGGGAGTGGTTTATCATTCAGGGTACCCTGGGCGACCCTTGCATCCCATTGGGACTTTCAGATTTTCTTTATAGAATCTGTTTCAAGTTTTCTATTTTTTGTGATTCTAATTACCTGTACAGATAGTTTGTTAAATATATGTGCTCATGTTTTTGTTCTTCATGTCCACACTCCTTAGGTCAGATGTCCTGCAATCCTTCTTTTGGTGGCATCGGAAAGGGGCATTTAATGAGGGAAGTGGATGCCTTGGATGGCCTGTGTTCTCGAATCTGTGACCAGTCTGGTATACATTACAAAGTATTAAACCGTCGTAAGGGCCCAGCTGTGTGGGGACTGAGAGCGCAGATTGATAGGAACCTATATAAACAGCACATGCAGGTGAGAATAGGGCACAAGGACAGGAAGGACTGCAGGGTTCTTTAGCTGCTGTTTCAGCTGGCATTCCCCTTCCACAGAAGGAGATCCTGAATACACCACTGCTCACTGTTCAGGAGGGAGCTGTAGAAGATCTTGTTCTTACAGAACCAGAGCCTGGACACTCTGGGAAGTGCCGTGTCAGTGGTGTTGTTTTGGGTATGTACTGGTTAATGATGCTAAGAGCAGCATAGCAAACTCTTTGTGAGACATTTACTTTAGAGGAAAGTGGAGATGTCTTTCTATGCTAGGAAATTCTTGTGTTTTCTCTGCCTTAACAAGAAAAACTGTATAAATAATGATGTTTCTCTTTTCATTTTGACCATCATGAAGCTCAGTCACATTCTGGGTTCATCAGTACTGTGTTAATGCAAGACTTCATAGTTTGCATATTTGTGTCTCCATCCAGGTCCTTCTATTATAATTTTTTTTATATTGGTTTATTTTATGTGGGGCTATACACTTAATGGGAGGTTAGGGGAACTCAAGAGTTGTTTCTCCACTTCCAACATGTGGGTTCAAGGAATTAAATTCAGTGGGACATCACCCACTGTGTAGCCTAGGATGACTTTGAACTTCTCATTCACCTACCTCTACCTCCCAAGTGCTGGCATTACACTTATGAGCCACTCTGCCCGGTTTATGTAATGTTAGGGATTGAACCCAGGGTTTTGTGCATGCTAGATAAACGCTCTACCAGCTGAGCCACATCCCCAGACCCTGCATTCCTCCACTCTCATTCACTTTCTTGGGGTTTCATTTTGTTCTGTTTTGTTTGTTTGAGACAGCATCTCCCTGTAGCCCCAGGTGCCCAGAACTCGCTATGTAGACCAGGCTGGCCTCACTGTTGAGAGATCTCCCTACCTCTACCTCCCAAGTGCTAGAATTAAAGGTATGTGCCGTTATGCCGGGCCTTCCTGTTCTCTGTCAGTTATCTAAGTTTCTGAGCCTTTGCAGCCCCACTGTTGTTGCTTCTTCAGATATCTGAGTTACAGCCATCTTCCCTCTCTTATTACCATTCATCTAACTGCTTTCTGTCTTTCAGAAATATATTGAACTCATCTTCTCTCAAGTTCTTTCCTATTACTTGTCTTTCTTGCTTTTTATATATGTAAATACACACACACACTCACACACGGTCTCCCTATAGCGACAGCTGCCAGAGAACTCTAGACCAGGCTAACCTCAAAACCACAGGCTTTATATATTTTTATTGCTTTAATTTTATGACCGTTTCAGAAGGGAGAATAAATCATGTCATATTTAATCAGACATCTAAAATTTTTTTTTTCATAATTATTTTTACAGAATTTTGGTATATTTCATACACATCATCTTAATCATCTTCATCCTAACCCTTCCCCATTAACACCCTCCTCTATAATAGTCTCCATCTGTTGCAAAAGAAGCTTCTTTGAAGAGTGGTGACTGGCATGCTTGTCTGTAAATAGAAGGATCCATATTTAGCATATAGTAAGAAATTACATTTGTCTAGGGATGTGACAACAGTCTTAGGGTTTTCTCTAAGATCTGTGACCTCTCCAGTCGTATGTATTTGGCTATGTTTATAGTACCACACATGAATTCTCTCCCATTGAATGGGCTTCAAGTCCAATTAGGTAACTGTTGGTTACCCCCAAGATAAAACTGCCACTACTGCCCTAATATAGTTAGCTGGGCCAGTCATTGATGTGTTTTTTAGGGCCTGAAGTTGGGGTTGGACCATCAATTGATGCTCTTCCTTACGAGCTTGCATAGTGCTCTCCAAAGCTATGAGAGCTAACCTTAAGGGGACGTGCTTCCAGGTCAGTTCCAGCTCCATTGCTCCAAATCCCATGTCCAAAGTATGCCCTGTCTTCAGCAATAGCATCTTAGCTTCAAGTTCTAGGAGGCAATCAAGGGTGGTGGCAATAGCCTGTATAAATTTTGGGAGTCTCTTGGACTACCCTGGACAGTAGCTTGAAAGGAGGTTTCTCCTGTCTGACACTGTTTCTTGTTAAATAGCCTTCAGCTATATACATGGACTCATGCAGAGATATTGTATGTGTAAGTTTTCAGTAGACTTTGAACTACTATGTTTCCCTTTGATTTTTCACATCAGCTAGGCATTGTTTGTCTCTCCTCTCCTGATTTTACCACCCTCCCTCCCCAGTTGAAGTACCCCGTTTCCCCATTTCACCCTTCATATACTTGTCTCCTATATGGTCCTCCCTCTCTTGAGTTCCTTCTTCCCCTTTACCCCGCATAGTTCCTTGTATAATCTTCCCTCTCCCCGTCCCATCTAAATACCCCCATTTTACCTACTTCCCCTTTGATAACTAACCCATGTCTCCTATTGTTCTCTCTCAGGCTCCTTCTTTCCCTTTACTTCCCTGGTTCTTTTCCATTTTCCTGGCTCCTGCAGTTACATCAGCATATGTACTGACATATAAGGATTTGGTGCTAGGATTCACAAATGAGGTTTGTTTTTGTGAGTCTGTGTTACTTAATATAACAGTTTCTGGTCCCATCCATTTACCTGCAAATTTCATGATTTTGTCTTTCTTTACTCCTAAATTGAACTCCATTTCCTGGTGTCTTCCTCAATCTCTTCAAAGATTTAAAATGTTCATTGTAGAGCTCTTTTATGCCTTTGGTCAGGTTTATTCCTAGATTTTTTTTTTTTTTTTTTGAGACTGTTGTGAATGGGAGGTTTTCCATGTACTCTTTCTCCAGTTGTTTGTTAGTGGTATATAGAAAGGCTACTGATTGCCTGGTGTGGTGGCACATTCCTTTAGTCCCAGCTCTGGGGAGACAGAGCAGGTGGATCCCTGGTGGATCTCTGTGAGTTCCAGGCCAGCTGGGGCTATAGGGAGACCCTGTTTCAAAAAGACAAAAATAAATAAATAAATAAATAAAAAGGCTAACCTGCTACTTTGCTGAAAGTGTTAATCATTTCTAGTTTTCTGGTGGCATTTTTGGAACCTCTTTTGTGTAATATATCATCTGCAAATAGGGATACTTTGACCTCTTCCAATTAGTAATCCTTTAAATTTCTTCTTTTGTCTTACTGCTCTAGCAAGAGTTTCAAGCACTATATTAAAATAGAGTAGAGATAATGGACAGCCTTGTTTGGTTCCTGATTTTAATGGGAATGTTTCTAGTTAGAATTCCATTTAGAATGATGTTGGTCATGGGTTTATTATGTTGGGGTATGTTTCCTCCAGTCCCTCTAGGACTTTTATCATAAAATCATGTTGAATTTTGTCAAAGGCCCTTTCTGTATTGAGGTGATAGTGTGAATTTTGTCTTTGAGTCCATTTATATGATTTATAACATTTATGGACTTGCGAATATTGAACCATCCCTGGAATAAAGCTGACTTGATCATGGTGGATGATCTTTTTAATGTGTGTCTGGATGCAGTTTGCAAGTATTTTGTTGAGAACTTCTGTATCTATGTTCATTAGGGATATGAGTATACTGTAGTTTTCTTTTTTGGTTGTGTCTTTACTAAGGGTTTTGGTATTAGAGTGATGCTGACTTCAGAGTTTGGGAGTTCTCCCTCTGTTTCTATTTTTTTAAATAAGTTAAGTAGTATTTATTTCTGTTCTACTTTGTTTCTCCATTGCTATGACAAAATACTCTGACCATAACCAACTTGGGGAAGAAAGGGTTTATTTAGCTTACATCTCCCAGGTCACAGTTCATCAGGGAGCCCAAGGTAGGAACTCAGGGCAGGAACCTGGAGGCAAGAGCTGGCATACAGGCCATGGAGGAACACTGCTTACTGGCTTGTTCCCCTGGCCCCTGCTCAGCCTGCTTTCTTATGCAACACAGGCCCTCTTGGCCACGGGTGGTACCACCCAGAGGGCTGGGCTGTCCCACAAAACTCAACAATCAAGAAGATGCCCCACAGACATGGCCACAGGCCAGTCCAATGAAGGAAATTCCCCAATTGAGGCTCCCTCAACCCAGGTGTGTCAAGTTGACACCAAAGCCATCCAGCACAATTGTATATCTTTAAATGTCTGATAGAATTCTACTGTGAATCAATCTGTACCTGGGCTTTTTTCAGTTCAGAGGTTTTGTATTACTGTTTCAATTTCCTTATATGTGATATATGTGATTTAAGCCGTTGCTCTCTTCTTGGTTTAGCTTTGGTGGGTCCCATGATTTTAGGTATTCATCCATTTCTTTTTAAGTTTTCAAATTTAATAGAGTATAGGGTTGGGGGGGGTATTTGTTTTTTGTCTTGAGACAGGGTCTCCCTGTAGCCCCAGCTGGTCTGGAACTCACTATGTAGACCAGGCTGACCTTGAACTCACAGAGATCAGCCTGCTCCTGCCTCCCAAGTGCTGGGATTAAAGACATGCACCACCATGCCTGGCCAGAGTATAGGTTTTTAAAAAGTATGCCCTTATAATATTCTAGATCTTTTTGGTGTCTGTTGTGATGTTTCCCCTTTCATCTCTAATTTTGTTGATTTGGATTTACTCTTTCTTTTGGTTGACTAGGCTAAGGGTTTGTCTACCTTATTTAGATTTTCAAAGAATCAGCTCATAGATATATTGATTCTTTGTGTTGTTTTCTTTGTTTCTGTTTCTTAATTTCTGCTCTGAGTTGCAATGTTAAATCATTGATTTGTTCTCTTTCTGATTTTTTTTTTTTTTTTTTTTTTTTTTAAACCTGTCTCTGAATGTGGGGGGGGCTTATCTGTTTGGCAGGACTAGGGGGCCCAGACTGCCCGAACTCACAGAGATCCACCTGCATCTGCCTCCCAAGTGCTGGGACTAAAGGCCTGCACCACCGCACCAGACTTTCTGATTTTTTAATGTAGGCACTTAAAGCTCTAAACTTCCCTCTTTGGACTGCTTTTAATGTGTCCCAGAGGTTTTGTTGTGTTATCCTTTTCATTTTGTTCTAGGAACACTTTAATTTCCTCGGTTTTTTTTTTTTTTTTGGTCTTTTTGAGACAGGATTTCCTTGTAGCCACAACTAGCTTAGAACTCGCTGTGTAGTCCAGGCTGACCTTGAATTCACAGAGATCCACCCACCTCTACCTCCCAAGTGCCACCACACCCAGCTTTAATTTCTTTCTTAATTTCTTCTCTGACCCATTCATCATTCAAGAGTGTGTTGTTTAGTCTCTTTGTTTGTATAGTTTCTAGAGCTTCTTTTGGTGTTGATTTTTAAGCTTTTCTGCATTGTGGTCTGATAGAATACATGGAATTATTTCAATTTTTTGTATTTGTTGACATTTGTTTTGTGCCCCAGTATGTGATCAATTTTAGAATAAGTTCTATGGGGTGCTGAATAGAAAGTGTATTCTTTGGTGCTTGGGTGGAATATTCGGTAGATGTCTGTTAGGTCCATTTGATATATGGTATCATTTAATTCATATGTCTATTTTTTGTCCAGTTGACCTGTCTGGAGATAGTGGAGTATTGAAGTCTCCTACTATTACTGAGTTGGGTTAATCTGTGTCTTAAAGTCTTAGTACTGTTTTTATGAAATTGGGAGCACCAGAGTTTGGTGCATATATCTTCTTCTTGGTCATTTGTTCCTTTGATCAGAATGAAGTGATCCTCATTATCTCTTTTGATTAGTTTTAGTTTGAAGTCTATTTTGTCAGATATTAGAATTGCAACCCTGCTTGTTTCTTAGTGGCATTTGCTTGGATTTTTTTCTCTCCATCCTTTTACTTTAAGGTGGCGCCTATCTTTAAAGGTGAGGTGGGTTTCTTGCAGACAACAAAAAGATGGATTTTGTTTCTTTATTAATATTTTAAAATTTTTATTTAATGTCTATCGGTATATTGCTTGCATGTAGGTAGGTGTATCCTTGCTGTGCAATGCCTGAGGAGGTCAGAAGAGGGTGTCAGATCCCTTGGAACCCGAATTACAGACAGTTGTTAGCCGCCATGTGGGTGCTAGAAATCAAACCCAGGTCCTCTGCAAGAGCAGTCAGTGTTCTTAACCTCCAAGCCATGTCTCCAGCCCAGATTTTGTTTCTTAATCCGTTTAACTAGCCTGTGTCTTTTGACTGGGAAGTTTATGCCTTTGTTTTTTTGTTTTGTTTTTTTTTTTTTTTTTTTTTTTTTTTTTGGTCTTTTTGAGACAGGGTCTCCCTGTAGCCCCAGCTGTCCTGGAACTCACTGTGTAGACCAGGCTGGCCTTGAACTCACAGAGATCTGCCTGCCTGAGTGTTGGGATTAAAGGCGTGTGCCACCACACCCGGCCCAGGCCACTGATATTTAAAGTTATTTATTGGAACGTGTGTTATTGAAAGATGTTGCATTCTTGGTCCAATTTTGTGTTTCCGTAATTATCCTTTCATTTGGTTTTTTCTGTTGCCTCTTGGGTATGACCATCCCTTTCTTTACTTCTTTGTATTGCTTCACATATTCTCTGTCTGACCTGTTTTATGGACGTGTAGTCTTTTAGTCTGTTCGTGTTCTGGAAGATTTTTCTTTCCCTTTCCACTGTAATAAACAGTTTTGCTGGGTAAAGTATTCTGGGTTGGCATCTATGGTCCTTTAGAACTGGGAATACTTTGGTCCAGGCTCTTCTGACTTTCATAGGTTGCAGAAAAAAACTGAATTCATCACTGCTTTCAAGAAGAGGCCAAAGGTCAATGTCAAGTTCTTCCTCAGTCTTTTTTTTCCACATTGTATTTATTAAGGTTGGGGGAAGTACATGCCACATCATACTGTGGAGGTCAGAGAACAACTTGCAGTAGGCAGTCCTCTCCTGCTATGTGGGTTCCAGGGATCAAACTCAGATCATTAGATAAAGGCAAGTGCCTTTACCTACTGAACCATCCCACTGGACCCTCAGTTGCTTTTTTTTCTTTTCTTACTATGTAGCCCCAGCTGGTCTAGAAGTCATTATGTAGACCAGACTGGTCTCACAGAGATCCACTTGGCTCCACCTTTCAAGTGCTGGGATTAAAGGTGTGTGTCACCACGTCCTGCCAGTTGCTTATTTTTTAAGACAGGGTCTCACACTGATCCTGGAGCTCACTGACTCAGCTAAGCTGCCTGGTCTGTCTCTGTCTTTCCAATGATGGGGTCATAGATACATGTAATGCTCTACATGTTGCCTCCTTACTCAGAATTCTGTTTTAAGAGAGAAATTGGGAGATGTTGATCAAAAGCACAAGTTTCAGTTGTTAGATGAATGCTTTCTAGAAATGTAATGTATATTATGGTAACTACTGTTGATGATATATCCTGAAATTTTCTAAGGGGATACTGAGTCTTTGCAGTACACACAGGAAAAAATGACAGCCATGAGGTGGTAGGTATGTCAATTGGGTTTATTATATGAGGTAGACTTACAGCAAAGCAACATGGTGTATACCATAAATATATAGTTTTTTTTGTTTGTCATATAAATCTTGTCAGTCAATAGAGCTTGAAGAACCAGGTACTAAAAAATTTTCAAATTTCTAACTGTAGAAAGTTTTGTTGTAATTCTACTATAAAGTACAACTGTACTGTTACATAGTAACATTCAGAAAATGACTTTAGTCTTTTTTTCTTGTCATTTAGCGGATGGAAGTACAATTTATGCAGAGAGTGTGATTCTGACAACTGGGACATTTCTGAGAGGCATGATGGTAATTGGATTGGAGATGCATCCTGCAGGGCGTTTGGGTGATCAGCCTTCTATAGGGTTGGCCCAGACACTAGAAAAGTTGGGGTTTGTAGTAGGAAGGTTGAAGACTGGGACTCCACCACGAATTGCCAAAGAATCCATTAATTTCGACATTCTGAACAAACACACTCCAGATAATCCATCCGTACCATTCAGCTTTCTCAATGAAACAGTGTGGATCAAGGTAAGACAATTTATGGAAGCCTTGTTTGATAGCTGATGTTGGCTCTTCACAATAGGGTATAGCCTAACCATCTGTCTCTTTTCCTTTTTTAATTAATTTAATTTTTGTTTATGTGTATCGGTGGGTGTGTATGTGACTGCCACGTTGTGTGCAGGTGTCTGCAGTACCCTGAAGAGTGTTGGATTCCCTTTGAAGCTGGAGTTGCAGGAGGTTGTAAGCCACTTGACATGGGTCCTGGATCAGAGCTCCTGTCTTCTGAAAGAACGCAAGCACTCTTATCTTCCAAACCATTTCCAGACCCTCCTACCCCAGTGCCCACCATTTTTTTGAGACAGGGTCTTACCACTCTCTGATGCCCAGGGTAACCTAAAATTTACTATGTAGCTATGCTGGCCTCAGACTTCAGTATATTGAGATTACAGGCATGAGCCTTCCACACAGCTTCTTCTCTTTTTTGACAATTTATATCACTATTGGTTAGGATAAAAGAAATAACCTATAAAAATATTAGCTATGGGATTAGAGAGATGGCTCAGCAGTTAAGCACACTGGCTGCTCTTGCAGAGGACCTGGGTTTGATTCCCAGCACTCACATGGCAGCTACGAACCATCCTTAACTCCACTTCCAGGGGAATCTGAAGCCCTCTTCTGACCTCCGAGGCATTGCACGACACGGGTGCACTCACATACATGTAGGCAATATACTCAGATACATAAAATAAAAATAAATAAAATATTTTAAGAAAATTAGTTATGTCTAGCAGATGGCTCAGCAAGTAAAAATGCTTGCCTCAAAAGCCTGACAACCTGAGGCTAGTCCCTGGAAACCACATAAAAGTGGAAGAACTGACCCCCACAAAGTTGTCTTCTGACTGCCACACGTCTGCTGTGGCACATAGGGCCATACATATACATTAAGTACACCACATCGTAATACTAATAATTTAAATGTTTTTTATTTATTGAATATTAGATAATTTGATAAATTGGGCATTTCCTAGTACATTGTTTTTTCTTTCTTTTTTTTGGGGGGGGGTGTCTTTCTGAGACAGGGTTTCCCTGTAAACTTTTTATTATGAATTTTTAGGTTTGGGGTTGGAACTATTCTACCATTCAGTTGGTAGAATGCTTGCCTAACATGCACAAAACCCTGTGTTCAGTACCCAGTACCACATATGTGGTAGCAAATGCCTATAATCCCAGCCCTTGGAAGATGGAGGCAGAAGGATCAGAAAAGTTCAAGGTCTGTTATTCTCAGCTAAATAATGACTTTGAGGCCAGCTGGAGTTAGATGACACTCTTGTCTCAAAAGGACTTTTCTTTTTTAGATTTAAAGCAGGTATAATGGCACTCCTAATCCTACTCAGGAGTATGAGGCAAGAATTTTATGAGTTTGAGGGCAACCTGTATTTCTTAGTGAGATCCTGCCTCAAAAATTATATTTCACAGAATTGGGAACTAGCATAAAGAACTAACTTTTTCATACTATTGTGTTATTCTTTGGGGTTTTTTTAGGTTTTTATCTTTTTTTTTTTTTTCTTCCTTTTTTTGGTCTTTTTGAGACAGGGTCTCCCCGTAGCCTGAGCTGTCCTAGAACTCGCTATGTAGACCAGGCTGGCCTTGAACTCACAGAGATCCTCCTGCCTCTGCCTCCCAAGTGCTGGGACTACAGGCGTGCACACACCCGGCACAGGTTTGTATCTTTTTAATTGTGAGGCTGGGGAGATGGTTCAGTGGTTAAGAGTGCATACTGCTCTTCCAGGGGACTCAAGTTCTGCACCCCTGTCAGGCTGCTCACAACCAGCTGTAACTCCAGCTCCAGTGGATCCTCCGTAGACACTGCACTCACACAAACCCATGCACAGACACGTACACATATATACATAATTAAAAAATGAGGGTTGGGCGTAGTGGCACATGTCTTTAAATCAGCACTTGGGAAGCAGAGGCAGATGGATCCCTGTGAGTTCGAGGGCATGCTGGTTTTCATAGTGAATTTCAGGGCTACATAATGAGACCCTGTCTCAAAAACCAAAAATAAGGGTCTAGAGAAATGGCTCAGCGGTTAAGAACACTGACTGTTCTTGCAGGAGGCCTGGGTTGAAATCCCAGCACCCATATGGCAGCTAACAACTGTCCATAACTGCAGTTCAAGGGGATCCGATGGCCTCTTCTCTCCTCCATGGGCATTACACAACACAGGTGCCCTTTACATACATGTAGACAATGCATATAAAACTAATAAAGAAATTTTAAAATAAATATTAACAATAAAATGCTCTTAGGCATCAAAGAATAAAATAAAAACTTTAAAAATTATAAAATAACAAAATTATATGAATGTATGTGGGTATGTGAATATGAGTACAGGTGTCCACAAAGGCCATAAGTGTCAGAGCCCCCTGAAGCTGGAGTTATAGGTGGTTGTAAGCTGTCTTATATGGGTTGTGGGAACTGAACTTGGGTCCTCTGCAAGAGCAATCTAAACCACTGAGACATCTCTCCAGCCCTCTTGTTTTGTTTTGCTTTGTGTTTTGAGATGGTCTCCCTATGTAGCCAAGCAGGGCTTGCTGGAACTCATGGACAGTCTGCCTCAGCCAAGTGCTGGAATTACAGGTGTGAGGCACCATGCCTGGCTTATTCATACTTTCTTTTTTTCTTTTACTTTGTTTGAGGTAGGGTCTCACAATGGAGACCTGGCTAGCCTGGAACTTGCTATGTAGAGCAGCTCTGAAATTCACAGAGGTCCACCTGTTTCTGCCTCCTGATTAAAGGCATGCATTACTGAGCCCTGCTCTTTTGCACTTTTTTGAACACGTGTGTCTGTGTGTCTGTGTGTCTGTGTGCTTGTATGTATGCCATTGCATGCACTTGAGATCAGAAGCCAATTTAAGGGAGTTATTTCTCTCCTTCCACCATGTAGGTTTTCACTGGCCCAGTTTCATTCCTTCTTGGCGACTTTTAAAACACTTCTAGACATCAAATCCTCTCATTTATACTTTGTTGTGTGTCATTAGCAAAGAACTCATATACACCAAAGCTTTTTGTTTTGTAAATATTTTTATTTTCTTTGAGAATTTCACAAAATGTGTTTTGATCATGTTTACCCTTAATTCCTTCAGACTGACCCCTACCTCCAAAACACTGCCCCCCACCCTTTAATTTAATGATACATCAATTCCAGTTTGTGCTGTCCATAGACTGCTGGTTGTGGGGCCATCCACTGGAACATGGTCAACCTACCAGGAGATACCCCTTAAATAAAACTGACTCTCCCTCTCCCAGAGGTTAGGGATAGGGGCTTGATCTTGTGCAGGCAACCACACTGCTGTGAGTTCATGAGTACAGTGGTCTTGTCATGCCCAGAAGACATGGTTTTGCTCAGGTCCTCCCTGACTTCTTCTGGCTCTTACAATCTTTTCACCTCTTCTTCTAAGATGGTCTCTGAGCCTTGGGGAAGGGTGTGATAATAGATGTCCCATTTGTGTCTGAGCACTCCACTGACAATCCCTTCACTTTGGCCAGTTAAGAGTTTCTGTCTTAATACCCCTCCATTGCATAAAAAGACTTCTCTCCTGAGGTCTGTAAGAAACACTAATCCAGATTCAGGACTAATTGGCTGATTTTTTTTGTTTTTGTTATTGTTTGGAGTTTTGAGACAGGATATTGCTCTGTAGCCCAACTGGACTTGAACTTGAAAAAAATCCTCCTGCCTCAGCTTCCCAAGCTCATGAGCAACCACACCCCATTTCTTTTCTTAATTTTTTTTAAATTTACATTTGTGTGTGTACTTGCATGTGCCACAGAGCACATGTGGAGGTCAGAAGAGGACAACTTGGGGGAGTCAGTTTTGGCTTTCTACCATGTTAGTCCCAAGGATCAGACTCAGGTCATCAGGGTTGGTGCCAAGTGCCTTTAGCCTTTGAGCCATCTTTCTGGCTCCTAAAACATTGTTTCTCAGTGTCATCTAGTATTCAGATTTCCCCTAATGCCCTCAAATAAGTTTTTTTTTTAATATTTACTTTTGTGTATATGTGTGTATGCAGATGTCAGAGGGACATTGGTTCTTTCTTTCATGTGCGTCCTCAGGTTGTCAAGCTTGGCAGTGAGCAGCTTGCCATTCCACAGATGCGTTTTTTGGTTTAGTTTGGTTTGGTGTGTATGAGTGTTTTGCCTACATGTATATAAGTGTACCATGTACACAACACCCACCAAGGTTAGAGGAGGGTGTCAGATCCCCTGGAACTAGGTGCTGGAGACTAAACCTGGGTCCTCAGCAAAAGCAGCTAGTGCTCTTAACTGCTGAGCCATCTCTCCAGCCCCTTAAATATATTTTGTACAGTAATTTTATTTGAAACAGGGACCAAAAAAGAGGTTCACATATTATATTACATTGTACTTTTTAACTGCCCCCCCCAAATACTCATGTATGGAAGAAATTCTTTTTTTCTAGAACTTCCCATACTCTAGATTTGTGTGTAATTTCTTTCTCTATCATCTTTCCTATAAACTGATAATTAGACCTAGAGGCTTGCTTAGATTTAGGTTCATCTATTTGATTATGTGTTTATTTTTGGCAGGAACACTTAATTAGGCACAAACTTAATGTCTGTTAAGGTAAATAGCATATGGAATTTATTTAAATAAGGGGCAAAGTAGTAGAGAAAGAAAACAATACTATATGCTGCAAATAGTGGCCCACACCTGTAATCCCAGAGGCGGGGGGTGAGACAGGAGGATCAGGAGTTTAAGGAGAGCCTCTCTAGAGTAAGTTCAAGACCTGAGACCCTGTCTCAAAGAAACAAACAGAATAAGCATTGCACCTGGTTACTGTTTTTTAGCCAGAAGATCAGCTGCCTTGTTACTTGACTTACACCAACCCCAAAGTGGATGAGATTGTCCTTGAGAACCTTCACCTAAATAGTCATGTTAAAGAAACCACAAGAGGGCCCCGGTAAGGACAGAAATCAGTGCTTAATCAGTTTAAGGAGTGATGTAACCTTTTTTTGTTATTTCATTTTTTTTTTTTTAATGTCTTATTCTAGATACTGTCCCTCCATTGAATCAAAGGTTTTACGTTTTCCAAAACGTTTGCATCAAGTTTGGTTGGAACCTGAAGGAATGGATTCTGACCTTATCTACCCTCAAGGATTATCTGTGACACTACCAGCCGAGTTACAGGAGAAAATGATAGCATGCATCAGAGGCTTGGAGAAAGCTAAAATGGTCCATCCAGGTAAAGAGGGTCCCGGCTGCCCTTCAGTGCAAGCTCAGCATTGCCTGCACAGTAGGAAGTCCTAGCTGCTCTATTGTTGCGTGGTCCTTCAGAAGATGACATCCATTCATAATCCTGGCACTCAGGAAGCTAAAACAGGAAGATTTCTGTAAATTTGAGGTCATCACGGGCTAACTGTTAAGACATGTCTCAAAAAAGGTATATTAATAGATGAAACCCAACATATATACATTTAACAGAACTTTTGATTTTTTTTTTTTTTTTCTTTCGTCTTTCTGAGACGGTCTCCCTGAAGTCCCAGCTATGTAGACCAGACTGGCTTTGAACTCAGAGATCTGCCTGCCTCTGCCTCCCAAGTGCTGGGATTAAAGGGGTATACCACCACTCCTGGCCACAGTTTTTAATTTTGTAGCTCATTGAATAGTGATCTTAGTAGTTCTACCTTGGGGTAAATGCAGCTGTTTTCACTTACCTTATACATCATTTGTTCTTTGGTCAGGCTATGGTGTTCAGTATGACTATTTAGATCCCCGTCAAATCACGCCTTCCCTCGAGACGCATTTGGTTCAACGGCTCTTCTTTGCGGGGCAGATAAATGGTACCACTGGCTATGAGGAAGCTGCAGCTCAAGTAAGAATTTTTTTAGATGTTACCAAAAGAACCATTTCATTAGTGCTTTTTTAATGTTGTGTTGATTATAGATCTTAGATGTAAAACTGTAATAGACTGTTCATTGTAAATGGAGATGGCTGCTGGATGTAATAAACTGCTTTGTTTTGTTTTGAATTTGGGTCTCGATATATAGCCCAGGGCTGACTTCAGACTCCTGATTGTTTATTTATTTATTTTGGAGGGTTTTTTTTAAGACAGGGTCTTATAGCCCCAGCTGATCTGAAACTTGATATGTAGATCAGGCTGACCTCAGTCTCAAAGAAATCCACCAGCCCCTGCTTCTGGGGTGCTAGGATTCAGGTCTGTGCCTCCACGTCCAACTTTTTTTATGTGTGAGTATTTGGCTACATGTTGCAATGCCCTTGGAAGCCAGAGAGGGCATTAGATCCCCTGGAACTGGAGTTACTGATGGTTGTTAGCTGCCATGTGGGTGCTGAGAACTGAACCTGGGTCCTCCGCAAGAGCAGCCAGAGCTCTTAACTGCTGAACCATTTCTCACCCAATTTTTTTTAGGCAGGGACTCATGGAGCACAGATTGGCCTCAAACTTGCTATGTAGTCAAGGCTGCCTTGAAAATCCAGTCCTGCCCCTGCCTTCCAAGTGCTATCACAAGCATGCACCTCCACTGCTAGCTCAGGCTGCTCACCTTTCTGCCTCACCTTCTTACTGCTCAGGTTATGGATACATGATGCCATGCCCAGCTTCTAATAGATTCTGAAAGCACTTGTAGCTTTACTGCTGCTTATTTCTGATCTTATATTGTGACTAGACTTGGGGTATTGTTTCTAAAGTTTTAAATAAAAAGAACATTTAGTTCTTTTTTTTTTTTTTTTGTTGGTGTTTTTGTAGCAGGGTCTCCCTGTAGTGCCAGCTGTCCTGGAACTCACTATATAGACCAGGCTGGCCTTGAACTCACAGAGATCCGCCTGCCTCTGCCTCTGCTGGAATTAAAGGCATGTGCCACCACGCCCAGCAACATTTAGTTCTTTTAAGATTACTTCATTCAATTAAAAGAGAAGTTAAAACAAAACACAAGTCCTATGAAAGCTCCAGTGGATGGACCCACACTGGAGAACATATGGGGATTCAAGACAGACTCTATAGGCTTCATTATATGGAGAGAGCACACTGAAAGGAGTGTGGGGGTAATGTGGGGAGGTGTGGGTGGGAGAGGGGATATAAATGTCATCAAATTATATTGGATGGAAATCGCAAAAATTCAATAAATGCAAAAAAAAAAAAAAAAAGATTACTTCAGTGAAAATTATCATATTAGGGGGCTGGAGAGATGATTCAGCCTTGGTGGCTTGAAGAGGTGACTGCTCTTGCAGAGGACCCAGGTTCAGATCCCAGCGCCCACATGACAGCTAACAACCATCAGTAACTCCAGTTCCAGGGGATCTGATGCCCTCTTCTGAACTCCTCAGGCATTGTACACATAGGTTCACGTACATACATGCAAGCAGAATACTCATACACATAAAAGAAAATTCTTTTTTCAGTTTTTTGTGTGTGTGCGCATTTGTGCATATTGAGGCCAGAAATCAACTTCAGGTGTCCACCAGTCATTCTCTACCTTTCTTTTTAATTATGTGTACGTGTGTGTCTGTCTGCGTATGGCTGTGCACACATCTGTGCATGTTTGTGGAAGCCAGAAGAGGGCGTTGGATACTTAGGAGCTGGAGTTACAGATAGTTACGAATTACCTGAAGTGGATGCTGGGAACCAAACTGAGGTCCTCTTCAAGAGCAGTATATGCCTTACCTTGAGTCATCTCCCCAGTCTGTCTACCTGATTTTTTGAGACAGGATCTCTCATTGACCTAGAGTTCACCAATTAGGCTAAACTGGTTGACTAGTGAGCTCCAGTGAGCCACCTATCTCTGCTTCCCCAGGCCTGCACCACTGTAACAAGCTTTTTTTTTAATTTTACTTTTGTGAATTCCATACCATGAGTATTATTTTTGCATTTTTCTATCCCTCCCAGTCCCTCTCCAACTCCTCCCATGCCCCCTCCCGCTCCCTCTCAATTTCCTGTTCTCAATTATTGCTACAGGTGTTTATAAATACATACACATATACATATACATATGTATATGCATGATGCACTGAGTGGTTGGGATTGAGGGTTAGATAACCTCTCAGGGAACTAATCCCTAGAGAAAACTGATTCTCCCTCCCTAGCAATCCTTTGATTGCCTATAGCTCTTCATTTTGAGGTGGGACCCCATGAAATATGCCCCCTCCCCCAGTCCATCTTAGCATGTTGGCATTTATTATCACGCCGACATCATAATCATCTGAACAAATTGATTGACTCTTAAGTTTTTAAGAATGGATTCAAACTCAGAAGACTGGTTCCCCTATCTGTTAGAACCCTCTGTCTCCCAGAGCTGTGCCAGTGGATCTCTTGCCCCTCAACCTATGCAGATAAAGCTGTCTTGTGTCCTCACTCCGTCCCAATTGAACTGATTCTGGAACCCTGTTTCTCCCCCTGTGTATGCCCCATCCCAGTCAGGCCACACCCATAATCTATTCAAAATGGTTTCTACAGGTTCATTGGGGAAGTACAAGTTCAGGTTCAGTTCCACTCTTTTTTTGGGGGGCAGGGGGAGTCTTTTTGAGACAGGTCTCCCTGCTGCTTCAGCTGTCCTGGAACTCACTATGTAGACCAGGCTGGCCTCAAACTCACAGAGATCCACCTGCCTCTGCCTCCCAAGTGCTGGGATTAAAGGCGTGCACCACCACACCTGGCTTTCAATTCCACTCTTTGTCTTCACAGACCAAGGATCTTTTCATCCCTAGTATCACATTCATCCAAGGTCCCGTGTCCTTTCTCAGTTTCCACTGTGTCCAGTGGAGATGAGTGGGTGCACTGCTTGCAGCACTTTGATATGTTAACCCTCAAGCTCACCCACCTTCATTCATTAACTTTTTTGGGTTGAGTACGAAACTGAGGTTGCCAAGGATACACCCTGTTCTGGTTTTGCTGGGGATAATTAAAAGTCATTAGTCCAGATTATGTCCATTAGTAAAAGTCACTCCCACAGTATGTCAACTGGTTTTGTCATATAGATCTTGTTAGACTAGCATACTGTGGAAATTTAATTGGTGTCACTTCCCTATCATGTCTAGAATGTATTAACTAGCAGCAGATGTCTTGTCCCTCTGGGTCTTACAATTTTTCCACCGCCTCTTCCTGGATGTTCCCTGAGCCTAAGGTATAGAGGTTGCTTTGTAGATGTATGGTTTAGGGTTGTGCCCAGCTTTTTTACAGGTACAGGTCCTGTCAGGTCCTCATGCTTTGAGGCAAGCACTTTACTGATTAAACCATCTCTCTAGCCTTCCATGTTATTATTTATCTGTGGGAAATTACATTGTTTTTATTTGTGAGGGTGAAAAAACTAGGTGAGTTTAAGTAAAGATCAACCCACCCCACCCCCTGCAGCTGAATGAATTAAAGCATGCTAGCATGTATTCTGTTTCCACATATGGATCACATTTACCTCTATTCCTCATGAGCCTACTTTCTTCCTGTTTGGTTTGTCTTTCCAGGTAGTATTGTGAATAGGATAGTTATTGTTCAGTTCGTAATGGCCTCTTAAACATTTCAGTCCTCTTACAGGGTGTGATAGCTGGAATAAATGCCAGTCTTCGGGTCAGTTGCAAGCCACCCTTTGTTGTAAGTCGAACCGAAGGCTACATAGGAGTCTTGATTGATGACCTCACCACGTTGGGTACCAGTGAACCATACCGAATGTTTACCAGCAGAGTAGAGTTCCGTTTGTCCCTGCGCCCTGATAATGCTGATGTCCGGCTCACATTCAGAGGTAACTTTTAACCAAGTTCTGTAAAATGGTTCACTACGTTTTGCTTTTTGTTGATTTGATTTAGTTTTTTTGAGACAAGATCTCTATTAGATATGTTAGCTTTGAATCCACTGTGTAGCTGAGGATGGCTTTGAGTTCCTGATTCTCTTGCCCCCTCCTCCCAAGTGCAGAGCGTGTGCTAGCTGCCACATCCTGCTTTGGGGAGGGGGCAGTAGATGGGGGAGGTATTGACACAGGGTCTCCATATGTAGTCCTGGCCAACCTAGAGCTTGCTGCAATCCTCCTGCCTTTTCTGGGATTACAGTAGGTATGCAGTCTATGTCCTACAAGTTTTCTCTCTTCCTATCATAGGTTATAAGGAAACTGGCTGTGTGTCCCAACAACGATATGAAAGAGCTTCTTGGATGAAGACTTACTTAGAAGAAGGCATTTCTGTATTGAAATCCATTAAATTTTCAAGCTCCAAGTGGAAAAAGTTAATTCCACAGGCTTCTATAAGTATTAATAAAAGCCTTCCTGTCAGGTATGTATTTTCAATATAGACTTCCTAGTTTTCACAGAAAATGAAATTTCAGAGACATATATAGGACCCTGCCTAGCTTGCTCTTGGCTTCTTTCCCAGATCCTTTAGCTGTAACTCATCTGTTTATTTAGTACTAAAACTACATATAAGCCATATGTGACTCTAGTCCCAGCACTTGGGAGGTGGAGACAAAGAGGATTAGGAGCCCCAGGGCAGCCTCTTCCTTAGATTCATCCCCAGGGTCTTTCTTTACCTCCCAAATGCTGGGATTATAGCTGGTGCCACCATACCTAGTTAAAGATGATTGGGTTTTGTTTTGTTTTTTAAATTTATTTATTTATTTATTTTTTTGGTCTTTTTGAAACAGGGTCTCTCTGTAGCCCCAGCTGTCCTGGAACTTGCTATGTAGACCAGGCTGGCCTTGAACTCACAGACATCCGCCTGCCTCTGCCTCCTGAGTGCTGGGATTAAAAGCATGCACCAGCACGCCCGGCAAATTACTGTTTTTTAATTAGTGAAAATACATGTGTGTGATCTAAATTTTTTTATATATATAATTTCTTCATGGCCCATTAACATCTTTGGTTTTATTTGTTTTGTTGTTGTTTTTATGTGTATGAGTGTTTTGCCTGCATGTGTGTAACTGCACCATGTGTGTCCAAACCCAAAGAGGCCAGAAGATGGCATCAGATCCCCTAGAACTGGAGTTCTAGATGGTTGTTTGGGCACTGGGCACCAAACCTGGGTCTTCTGAAAGAACAGCCAGTGTTCTTAACCACTAAGACATTTCTCAAGCCCCAAAATTTTTTAAGAATTAAAAATAAAATTCTGGGGCCCTTGCACAATATAAGGTGTGTATATTTCACCATTCGTTTTTCCCGTTTTAAAAATGTGATTTGGAGCTGGGTGAGGTGGTGCACAGCTTTAATCCCAGCACTCAGAGGCATAGACAGGTGGATCTCTGTGAGTTCCGGGCTAGCAGGGCTGCAAGGAGAACCTGTCTCAAAAAGACCCCCTCCCCCCCAAAAAAAGTGATCTGGATGGGAGAAGGAGCCTAGCAGGACACAAATCAATAATCCTCTGTAACTTTAGAGGCACACTGCATAGCCTAATGTCACTGATCTGACCCTGTTCTCCAGAATATTCTTCCCCACCCCTTTTATGACACCATTTTCTCTGTGATGGTTTTTATGATATTACGGTATTCCCATATTTTGTTGTTGTTACTTTGTTTTGGGTTTTCTATTGTTGTTATTTGGTGTTTTTGAGACAGGGTCTCCATATAGCCCCTGCTGGCCTGGAACTCTGTGTGTTGACCAGGCTGGCCTTGAATTCGGAGATTTGCTTGCCTGGAATTAAAGGTGTGGTATACCAATTTTAATGTGGTTTTGGTTTTGTTTTTTTTTTTTTTTAACTTTTACAAAAACTTTATTGAGAATTTCACACATGCATGTAAGGTGTTTTGATCAAATCCATGCCCACTCTCTCCTCTCCAACACCTCCCATATCTCCACATCACTCTTTTCTTTTTCTTATCTTTTTTTCTTCTTCCATTTATTTTTATGGGGCTTTTGGCTACTCTAACATTCCCCCCTCTGAAGAGGTAACCCTAAAATCTTTTAAGGATTAGATACAAGCTCCCAAAGACTTTTGACATTTTTGGCCTTTGGAACAGAGTATATTGCTAACAGTCCCAAGGACATTTTGACTTTTAGCCAAGAAACTGGCTACTTAATGTTCTTTTTTATGAGCTCTAATTTTTCCTTAATTAGCAAAATGCCCATAATCTGGTTTTTATCCCTCCTGGGTGCTTTGTTGTTGTTGTTGTTGTTTTTTTCCCAGTTCTTGTTCCCAAGTTTCCCTTTTCATCAGAATTTCTCTGTGCACTGGCACTTCACTGTCACAGAATACTAAGTGGATTTTGGCCTTGTTTTTAGATCTTAATTGGCGTTTTTGTAGTTCTAAAATCAATCAGCAATCTAGACCAAAAATGGTTCAGAATATCCTTCAAACAGATTTTGTTTTGTTTTGGTCTTTTTGAAATAGGGTTTCATTATGTAGACTAGGCTAACCTTAAACTTGGGGAATCCTCCTGCCTCTACTCTAAATGCTAGGATTCAGGCTTATAACTTCCCTTAAACAGGTGGGGGTTTTTTTAAAAAAAAAAAAAAAATCAGGGTCTCATTGTGTGGGCCTGTCTGGCCTGGAACTTGTTACATAGAATAGGCTGACCTCAAACTTAGAGATCCACCTGCCTCTGTCTCCCAAGGATTGAGACTAGGTGGACATGGTAGCTTTTAACACTTTTTTAATAATAGTAACAATAGGTATTAAAGAATTTGCATAGTGATTACCTAATTCATGCGGATCATTTTCCCAGCAGTGACAGCTTGGTTCAGTATTGGTGGTGACATCTTAGTCTGTTCAAGGCAGCTATAAACATACCATGAGGGGCTGGAGAGATGACTCAACAGTTGAGAGCACTGGCTACTCTTGCAGAGGACCTGGGTTCAGTTCCCAGCACCTACATAGCAGCTAACAGCTGTCTGTAACTCCTGCATGATATTGGGGCACTTACATACATGCAGGCAATATAGTCATAAAATAAAAATAAATAATTAAAAAAAAATGCTCTGAGATCAAGGGTAAAACTCAGTGAGGAATGATTCCTAGTATGCTTGAGATCCTGGGTTGGATCCCGAGCACTATATACATACACACAAAGCTTTAGACAGGGTAACTTATAAATAACAAATTTATTACTCATCCTAATGAGAAGTCCAAGATCTGGTACCCCCAGGGTAAGGTAAGGACTTGCTCCCATCTCCAAAATGATACCTTGTGACTGACTGTACTCTCTCATGGTCAGAGGGGTGAGCAGAATCCCTCAAGCTTCTTTTATAGAGGAACTAATCCCATTTCTTATGATGGCTTTACCTCTAAATAATAGAACATTGGTTATTAGGAGTCAGTGTATAAATTTTGGGATACCAACATTCTCACCATTGAAGTGGATATATTTGTTTACCACCTCTATTAAATATCAGTTTTATGTTGTTATAATAAAATACCTGAGGCTGGATATTTTATTTTCAAAAAGGAGTTGTATCTGTTTCATTATTTTAGAGGCTGAAACTCCAAAATTGGACCGCTCTATCTCTTTGACTTCTGATTAGGGTATTATAGCTGGCTGCATTCCAATGGCAGGCATACATGCAAAGATCATATAGCAAGGTACAAAGCCAAAAATCCAGGTGTTAAGTTTGCTCTTTTGACAAGCATCACTAGCATGAGCTCTAATGTCATGACACCAGCATTACTTCTGCAGACCAGACCCCCAGTGGATTAGTCACTTCCTGTGAAATCCTTCCTTGTAAAGATTTTACCACCTCAACATTGTGGCAACGGGGACCTCACTTCCAGAACATGAACCTTTGAGGGATACAAACTATATCTGAGCCATGGCACCAGCTGAGTGATGCTGGGAAATAGCGATGATGCAATAGTTCAGTTTGGCAGCTACGAACCGTTCTGAACTGCAGTTCCAGGGGAATCTGAAGCCCTCTTCTGACCTCCACAGCATTGTGCGACACAGGTACACTTACATACATGTAGGCAGTACACTCATACACATAAAATAAAAATAATAAATATTTTAAACAAAAACAGGATCTGATGCTACTAGGAAAGGCTGTATCAAGCCCTCTACCCTTGAGCCCTGACAAAAAACTGTTAGACTGCCGGGCATGGTGGCGCACACCTGTAGTCCCAGAAGTTGGAGGCAGGGGCAAGTGGATCTCTGAGTTCAAGAAAACAACCCATTAGACTGTTTTGTTAGCTCTCTGTCCAAATTTTCAGTTGAAACTTGTGCTGAATATACCTGATTTGTGTTGACTGAGAGTAAGGAAAGTCTAAGGTGCTAATTATTTCCTTTCCAGGTCTCTTTTTAGGAGGGAACAGTCTGCATATTTGATTTCAGCATAACACAACACCTAGTGTTCAAACTCCCTAAAGACTCATTTTTTAATGCCTAGATATTATCCATCTAGGATGAGAATTTAAGCTTTTTTACTTTTTGAGACGGGATCTCCCTGTAGCCACCGCTGGCTTGGATTCACTGTGGAAACCAGGAGGCTGGCCTTGAGTATCTGCCTGCCTCTGCCTCCTGCTGGGACTAAAGGTGTGCACCACCACACCCAACTTCAATGAAAGTTTTAATATAAAAAATCACATTGTTGGACTAGAAAGCTGGCTCATCAGTTAAAAGCCCTGGCTGCTCTTGCAGAGTAGCAGGTTTGGGTCCCAGCACCCACATGGCGGGCAACAACTGTCTATAACTCCAGTTCTAGGGGGTCCAACACCCTCTTCTGACCTCCTTGGGCACGTCACAACATAGGTGCATGTACACACATGCAGGCAATACATACACATAAAATAATATTTTAAGTTCACATTGTGAAAAATAATAAAGTAACAAATTTCTTTTTCTAAATGTAGTTAGCCTTTACATTTTTATTTCCTTTCCTGACTTAAAACATGAGAATTTTGCCAAACATAAATGTGCCTTTAATCCCAGCACTCACAGGTGGATCTCTGAGTTCAAGGCCAGACTCATCAACATAGTGAATTCTAGGCCAGCCAGAGCTACCTGTCTCAGAAGGGGGGTGGGAGGGATATTGTTCAAAGTACATATACCTATTGCATTTGCTGAGTGTTGAACCTGGTGTTAACTAGACTTCCTTTTTGGGTGAAGAAATTGAGAGTCTCAAATGTGTACCCCAGATTGGTCTTGAACTCAGTATGTAATTTGAGCTGGCTTCAAAGTCACAGTACTCCCTCTTCAGCTTTCCTAGTGCTAGGGTTACAGGCTTTTGGGCCAGACTCAGGCTGAATAGACCGTTTTTCCTTTGTTTTTGTTGGTTGGTTGTGTTTCTGTTTTTGTTTTTGTTTTTGGGTTTGTTTTTGGGTTTTGTTTTGTTTTGTTTTTTGAGACAGGGTCCCCCTGTAGCGTCAGCCGGCCTGGAACTCACTATGTAGACCAAGCTGGCTTTGAACTCACAGAGATCTGTCTGCCTCTGTCTCCTAAATGCTGGGATTAAAGGCATGGGCCACCACACCCGGCACACACTTTTCTTTCTTTTAATTAGTGACAAGTCAATTTTTGTGGTTGAAGGTTGTTTTTTTAAATACCTACTCTTTAATTTCCTGCGCTCTCCTGGCTTGGAACGTTTAATTATCTCCTTTTTTTACTTAAACTATGGCATTTATGCAGGTAAGAATAGAGACCAGCATGGGTAAAATGAGCCAGAACACAACTCTAACTTCTTAGGAAGTTACAGATTGAGTTCGTGTGTGTGTGTGTGTGTGTGTGTGTTAAAGTGCCTCCTAAATTTTAATATATAAAATTATTTGAAAATATTGAATGCTTGAAAATGGAGTCCTTACATTGTATAAAATTCCTGAATCAAATTTTTTTTTAATTTACTTGTTTAAAAAAAATGTTCCTGAGCCAGGCATGGTGACACATGCCTTTAATCCCAGCACTCGGGGAACTCACTCTGTGAGTTCCAGGCCAGCTGGGGCTACATAGTGAGTTCCAGGCCAGCTGGGGCTACAGGGAGACTCTGTCTCAAAAAAATACTTTAATAAATTTCTAAAAAAAATGTGGTCCTGATAAATGATGGGAATTTGCTGTTTTGTTTCTATAGTCATCATTTTCTTTTGTCTTTTACTTGAGAATTTCATACAATATATTTTGATCATATTCAGCCGGTACTTTAAAAAAATATATTATTTTTATTTTATGTGTATGAGTGTATTATATGCATGTACAATGCCTGCAGAGGTCAGAAGAGGATGTTTGATCCCCTGGAACTGGAGTTAGGATGACTGTTAGCCACCGTGTGGATACAGGGAACCAAACCCAAGTCCTCCACAAGAGCAGCCAATGCTGCCACCTCTCCAGCCCCATCAACAATTACTTTTTTTAAAAAAAAAGGTTTATTTATTAGTTATTTGAGAAATTCTTTTTTATTGAATATTTGTAAATGTCATACAATATATTTTGATAAAATTTAGATCCCCTCCCCCATTTGCATCCCTACTAATCCCCACCCAATTTCATGTCCATATGTATTAAGGCCTATAGAGTCAAACTTGGATCTCCAAATGCCCAAACAAGACTGACTCTCCCCTCTCCCAGTAGCCATAGGTTGCCAATAGTTCCTTAGGTAGGGTTGGGGTTTCTTGCCCACGTTTTTGTTCAGATTTTGTCTGACTTGAGCTTCTATGGGACTTGTGTATGCTGTCACCATTGCTGTGAGTTCATATCAGTAACTGACCAACTGTCTGAAAAACTTAGTTTCCTTGAGGTTATCTATCACCCCTGGCTCATACAGTCTTTCTGTCCCCTCTTTCACAATGGGTCCTGAACCTTGGGTGGCAGAAGTTTGATATATCACAACCTCTTGTTCTCTGTACATTTGCCAGTTGTGGGTCTCTGTTCATTGCCATCTGCTGCATAAGGAGGCTTTTCTGGGGAGAGTTGAGTGATGCCTGAATCCCTGCAAGTCTGGGGTCCTAGTGACTCAAGCAGGCCTGAGGGATGAGATGGGATGGGCTGTTAAATTTTGTGATGTCCTGCTATTTCACAGATGCTACTACTACATTTGCTCACTATACTTGGAAAAAATTGAGTGTCTTTTGGAGTCAGGCATGGTGGCACACGTCTTTAATCCTGGGACTTGGGCAACAGAGGCAGGTGGATCTATGTGAGTTCAAGGCAGCCTGGTCTACATAGTGAGTTCCCAGCAAGTCAGAACTATATAGTGAGGCCCTTCTCAAGAAAACAGAAAGTATCTTGGTTAGTCTGAGAATTAGTATATTCCAAGGAATTTTGTACTCACATGATATGGATCCTTCTGTTAATAAAACTTTTGTATATTGGCAGTGCTCTAGATGTTTTGAAGCATGAGGAAGTTGACATGGAGTTACTAGCCAATGCAGTTCCAGAGCCCTTGAAGAAGTATACTACATCTAGAGAGCTGGCTAGAAGACTGAAAATAGAAGGTAAAGGAGAATTAATTTTCCTCAGATGCCTGTATTCATTTTTCCATTTGTGCAGATCATGAATGATCCATAGGTCCATTAAGAGCCCTATAGCCCTATACTTACTGTAATCCCAGTGGTCAGGAGCAGAAGATGGCTGGAAGTTTAAGATCAGCTTGAGCTACATAGCAGGACCTATTTTAAAACACAAAGTGAAAAAGAGCCCTATGCTAAGCAAAGACATTACCGTAGGAACAGCATAGCCTTGGGCTCTGTGGTGCCCAACAGTGTGGCCTACACCTAGCAGATTGTCAGCAGTGTAGCATCTGTCAGGGCCACTGCGTAAGCATCTGCATTTTACAAGATCTGCTGGTGTTTTATATGCATGTTGTCAGTCTCAAAAGTGCTCCTGTTTGGTTATCCTTTTACAGCTTTTTTTTTTTTTTTTTTTGGTCTTTGAGACACGGTCTCCCTGTAGCCCCAGCTATCCTGGAACTCACTGTGTAGACCAGGCTGGCCTTGAACTCACAAAGATTCACCTGCCTCTGCCTCCTGAGTGCTGGGATTAAAGACGTGCACCACCACGCCCAGCCCTACTTTGAACTTTTTACATTTTTCTCATCTGATGTTAAAAATACTATCCTTGGCTTTGACATTACATTGGAACACTGGACCATTAACAAGTAACTCTGTGTCACGCAGCAGTACTCAGAATCTACCTCCCATTTACTGCAGCGCATGATGTGCTTTTGGTTCTTGGTCAGTTCGTTGACCATCAAAGCCACAGGAATCTTTGGATTTCCTCTGCTTTTTCAAATTTTTCAACAAATTTTTGTTCTATTTTTCTTTTTTCTTTCTGTTCTCAACAGGGTCTCACTGTGTAGCCCAGGCTGGCTTCAGACTCATGGCTGGCTTCCTGTCACAGCGTGCTGAGTGCTAGGATTACAGACTTGTTGCCACCATTCCAGGCTTCATAGGAAATATTTCAAGCACCTTCTTCCCCTCTGCAAAAGAGAGAGAGAGAGAGAGAGAGAAAGGCAAAAATTTCCAAATAAGCAAAAATATCGAGACTAATGGTAGTTTCTGCATTTAACTTTTTTAACATTATTTTTATTTTATGTGTATAAGTGTCTCGTCTGCATGTATGTAAGTGCACCTATGTTGTATAATGCCCATGGAGTTCAGAAGAGGGTGTCAGATCCCCTGGAACTGGAGTTACAGACTGTTCTTAGCTGTCATGTGGGTGCTGGGAATTGAACCCACATCCTCTACAAGAGAAGTCAGTGCTCCTAACCACAGAGCCATCTCTCCCACCCCTTGCTTCTGCGTTTTTATAGGTTTGTCCTAAAGTAGAAAATTAGGCAGTGAAATGGGTGGAGAATAGGGTGATAAGAGAAGGGTGGACGTTGGATGATAGTGTGGTATTTATGTATAGGAAAGGATTTTAGCCTCCTTGGGACTGGCAGGGCGCAGGGAATACTGGATTCTTTCTAGCAGTGGTGTTCTCTTTCAGTTCCACAGAGCTCTGTCCAGATCTCTATGCTTTGACTGTATGTACTCAGGTGTTGGGATTGCAGATGTGTGCCACCATGTCTGGTTTTATGTGTTGCTGGAATGCAATGGTAATATTGTCACTTGACAGGATTTAGAATCATCCAGGGCTTCAGACATGCCAGACAAGCCCTCTACCAACTGAGCTGCATGCCCAGCCACCAGGCAAGTTTCTTGAGGGAAGAAGCCGATGTTATGTTGTATTATCTTTCTTGTTTTGCAGTTAGTATTTGCGAGGTTAAATCAATATGCCCTTAGCTGTGTGCATTATTTCAGCTCTTCCATGTATTAACATACTTTGCTCATTGCTGTGACAAGATAATTAACAAGAAGCAGCTTAAGGGAGGAAGGGTTTGTTTTGTTGTGAAGGCCAGAGAACTATCGTGGGTGTTGTTCTCACAGTGGGTTTGTTTTGACTCACAGTTTGAGGGGATGAAGGTCATCATGGTGGGAAAGGTGTGGCGTGAGAGCAGTGTTAGCTGTGGTATGGGAATGAGGCAGTCAGGAAGTGAAGGTGAATTCTTGTGCCCGCTCCCTTTCCTTTTCTTCAGTCACCTGTGGGATGGTGCTGCCCACATTCAAGGTGGGCCTTCCTTCTTCAGTTAACCGTCACAGGCCCATCCAGAAGTGTATTCCATAGTGATTCTACAGCTTGTCAAACTGATAATAGTAACCATTACATTCCATTATACTCTGCAATCTGTTCATGCATCATAAAATTGTGCTAGGTGTTGTGATGGACACCAGTAATTGCAGCACCTGGGGGGCTATCTAGCCTACTAGGGAAATAATACAAATAAGATTTGCCCTGACAGAAAGTCAAATTCAGCTGGATGTGATGGTGCACTCTGGTAATGGTAGCACTTGGGAGATAGAACAGGAAGAACAGTTGTTCAAGGTTGCCCTTGGCTGCTTCATGGTTGATATGTAAAGTATTCTGTTTATCTTAGCTTTGGTTTCCTCACCAACCAGGAGTTTGAGATCATCCTGGGGCAATCCAGCAAGTTTGAGTCCAGCCTGGATTACATGAGAGTCTATCTTAAAAAAAAACAAAACAGGATCTGGAGAGAGATGGCTTAACAGTTAAGAGTACTTTGTGTTCTTCCAGAGGACCTAGTTCCTGTTCTCAGTACCCACAAGGTAGCTCTTGGCTACCTTGTAACTGTAACTCTCTTTCTTCTGGCCTCCGTGGGCACCAGGCACACATGTAATACACATACATGCAAGCAAACATTCATAAAAATAAAACTTAAAAACAAAACAAGTTGAGGGGCTGGAGAGATAGCTCAACAGTTAAGAACACTGGTTATTCTTGCAGAAGACTCAGGTTCAAATCCCAACACCCACATGGCAGCTAACAACTATCCATAACTCCAGTTCCAGGGGATCTGACAACCTCTTCTGTCCTCCGTGGGCATTGCATGACATGGGTGCACTTACCTATATGTAGGCAATACATGCATACATATAAAATAAAAGTTTTTTAAAACTTTAAAAAGTTGTTAGCCACCATATGGTTTCTGGGAACAGAATCTCGAAGACAGGCCAGTGATCTTTACCACTAAACCATTTCTCCAGGCCCCACTTTTAATTCTTGATCTTTCTACCTCCACCCCTCAAGTGCTAGTCTTTAGTCCTAACACTTGGGAGACAGAGGTAGGTGGATATCTGTGAGTTCAAGGCCAGCCTATTCTACATAAGAAGCTCCAGACCAACTGGGGCTGCAGGGAGATCCTGTCTCAAAACAGCAACAAAAGAAAAAGGACTATCTGCCCTGTCTTCAAGTGTCTCAAATGTTCAGTGAGATGATACATGCCAAGCTCTTTGTACATAGTACAGGGTTATACAAATACAGGTTGTTAGTGTAATCCGGGTATAGTAACATGACTCTAATTTTGTTCACCAGCCACTTATGAATCAGTATTGTTGTATCAGCTACAAGAAATAAAGGAAGTTCAACGAGATGAAGCTTTCCAACTGCCAAAAGACCTAGATTATTTAACTGTCAAGGATGTGTCATTGTCCCAAGAAGTTCGAGAGAAACTACAGTTCAGTCGCCCACAGACGGTAAGAAATTGGACAACAGAATAGGAACACATTATAAAGAGTTAGTGCTTTTGTTTTATAAAATCATATATAATAACGATTTATAATGATCATATATATTATCTATATTTACATATAAAACTAATGTTTCTTTCTAGAAATTTAACCTCATGTTTTCTATCCATGTGACAGATGTTGGTATGTCCCTGAGAGATGAAAAGGCTGAGCTTAGTTGAAATAACTGGAAATTAGGAATTAGTTTGCATCCCCCAAGTTGTCCACTGACTTGCACATGCACATTATAGCATGCATGCATCCCCACACATGCATGCATCATAAATAAATATCTTAATCATGGGCTAAACCATTTGTGCAAACTAGTGTATATATTGATGATTTTAATCATTCTAGGTTAAAATAGAACATATTTATTTTCATGTCTCTTCTTGAATCTCTCCTTAGGGATTCCATAGCTTACCTTATAAACTAGACAGAGGAGAGCCAGAGCTCTCCCACCCCGTGCTTTAGTCAGATTGTGTGTGTGTGTGTGTGTGTGTGTGTGTGTGTGTGTGTGTGTATGTTATATTAGTTTATAGTACTGGACTCCTAATAGAGATTTGACTCTGAGAAGTACATTTTCCCACATTTTGATATCTTTAAAATTGGGTTGTCATCTGATATGGTGATACATGCCTATGATACAAACTCTCAGAAAACTGAGGTACAAGGATTGCCTTTGCTTCATATTGAGACTCTGTTTGACCCCAAAAAACAGCTGGCAAGATGACTCATTGCTAAAGGAAGTTGTTACCAAGTTACCAAGCCTGATGACCTGAGTTCAGTCCCCAGGACCCATATAGTAGGAGAGAACTGACTCCTACAAGGTGTCCTCTGACCTCTACTTACATGCCATAGCATATGCGTGTCAACACAAACAAAAAAAAATGTTTATGTGTATGCATGTATTGCCTCCATGTAGGTAAGTGCACCCGTGTTGTGCGATGAGTGCCCGAGGGGGACAGAAGAGGCTCTCAGATCCCCTGGAACTGGAGTTATGGACAGTTGGATGCTGGGATTCAAACCCGGGTCTTCTGTAAGAACAAGCAGTGTTCTTAACCACTGAGCCATCTCTCCAGCCCCCACAAAAATTTTTTAAAAATAAAATGAGAAGGCTGGAGAGATGGCTCAGACATTGAGTTCTTGCAGCAGTTCCCACCATCCACATGGTAGCTAACAGCCGTCTGTGACTGCAGTTCCTTGGGGTCCAGTGCCCTTCTTTTTGCCTCCATGGGCACTGCATTCATGTGGTATACATAAATGCACACATAAGAAAATTAAATAAACCTGGGTGTGGTAGCACACGTCTTTAATTCTAGCACTTGGGAGGCAGAAGCAGGCAGATCTCTGTGAAATTGAAGCCACCTTGGTTTACATAGTGAGTTTCAGGCCATCTGGGGCTACAGAGAGACCCTGTCTCAAGAAAACAAGAATAAGGGATTAGAGCGGTAGCTCAGCATTAAGAATGCTGGCTGCTCTTTTAGAGGATCCAGGTTCAGTTCTCAGCACCCACATGGCAGTTCACAACTGTAACTGTAGTTCCAGGGGCTCAGATGCCCTCTGTGGGCATTGTACAATACTTACATGCATGTGGCAAAACACTCATATAATAAAAATAAATAAGGCCAGGTGTGGTGGTGCACGCCTTTAATCCCAGTACTCAGGAGGCAGGGGCAAGTGGAACTCTGTGAGTTCAAGGCCAGCCTGGTCTACATAGCAAGTTCCAGGCAAGCTGGGGCTACAGGGAGACCCTGTCTCAAAAATACCAAAAAAAAAAAAGAAAAGTAAATAAAAAATAATAAAATCGGGCTATATCTTAAAAATTAATGGACTGACCAGGGCTGGAGAGATGGTTCAGCAGTTAAGAGCACTAGCTGCTCTTGTAGAAGATCTGGGTTCAATTCCCAGCGCCCATACGGCAGATAGCAACTCCAGCTCCAGGGGATCTGATGTCTTCTTTACGTGCAGGCAATACACTCATATACATTTAAAAAAAAAAAAATTTGTGTGTGTGTGTGTGTTTTTGAGACAGGGTCTCCCTGTAGTGGGGGCTGGCCTGGAGCTCACTAAGTAGACCAGGCTGGCCTTGAACTCACAGAGATCCACCTGCCTCTGCCTTCTAAGTGCTGGGACTACAGACTTGCGCCACCATGCCCAGCTTTTTACATAAAATATTTTTTTAAAAAGTAATGGGCTTTAATCCCAGCTCTTGGGAGGCAGAGGTAGGCGGATCTTTGTAAATTCGAGGCCAGTCTGGTCTACATAGTGAGTTCCAGGACAGCTGAGGCTTCAGGGAGACCCTGTCTCAAAAAGACAAAAAAACGAAACAAAAACAAGCAAACAAAAACGAAGAATGAAAACTTTTATCACAGAAAAGCTTTCATTTAAGTTACACATTTTGTAATTTTACTCATATGTTATTATGTAAAAGATAAAATAAGGGGGCATTTTACCACATTATATCTTGGAAACTAAGGAAATAGACCTCAAATTGTATAACCTTTTTTTCCTTCTTTTGACTTTGTTATATTTTTATAGATGATAGACTACATTGTCTATATGCTAGCCAGTAGCCAAATGTGGCCAGTTACATTGATCAAAATTAAAATTTAAAATTCAGCTGTTACTTTGCAAACCTTATTTCCATTGTCCAAATAGCCACATGTCACTACTTGCTATATTTGACTATCTTCTTCCAATGCAAATATTACAGATTTCATGGAAGTTCAATTGAGACAACACTGATTGGATGAGTTCAAAAGCCCTGACAGAAGTTTGCCACAAGGGCTAGGGCTGTAGCTCAGTGGTAAAGTACTTATATAGTATATTAATTCAGTCCCCAGCACTGCATGCTTAGCATGCAGGAAGCCCTAGATTTGATCCACATAAACTGGGCATGGTGGCACACCTGTAATCAAAGCACTTTGGAAGTAGAGGCAGGAAAGAGAGGTTCAAGGGCATCCTCAGTTAGATGAGTTGGAGGCCAGCAATGGGATATTTGAGACCCTATATCAAAAAAATATTTGAGGCCATCAAAATGGTTCATTGGGTAAAGACAGTTGCTGCCAATCCTGAGTTCAGTCCTTGGAACCCATATGGTGAAAGGAGAAAACCAACTCCCAAGAGTTTTCCTGTGACCTACATGCGTGCACGCACACATACACACACATGCAGACACACGTTTAAAGGGGGGGAAAAACTTGCCAAAGCTGTTGTTTTGATGCAGGGTTTTACTGTGTAGCCCAGGCTGGTCTCAAGCTTGTGATCCTTCTGCCTTAGCTTCCCCATTACTGGGATAATAGGTATGGACCACTATGGCTGGCTAACAGACTAAGAATAAAACTGATTCCAGATTATATGAGGTAATTGGCCTTCATATCATTTAGGAGTGAATGTTCATATTTTTCTATAGTTTTGTTGCTAAAATATTAATTGGACTAAAGCTATAGGGTACTGCTCCCCACCACCACAGAGGTTATTATGACTTGTACAGTATTATACCTTATTATAAATGTTTATGGACTTCTGGATTTCATATAAAGGACTAGAGTTGAAAAAGGAACAATTAGAATCATTTAGGGAGTTGTCTTTGTTTTTGAGACAGCTTCTTTTTTGTTGTTGTTGTGTAAAATGTGTATGAGTGCCTGCATGTATCGTCAACCAATGTCGTGGAGTGCAGAGGTCAGAAGAGTGATGGTGTCAGAGCCCCTGGAACTGCAGTTAAGGACAGTTGTTAGCCATCATGTGGGTGCTGGGAATTGAACCCAGGTCCTCTGCAAGAGCAGCTGGTGCTCTTAATCACTGAGAAATCTCTCCAGCCCCCCATGAATTTTCTTAATGGAAAGCAAAAGATAGACTATAACATGTGTTGTATGAATTGGGGATGGGCTGGATTAGAGTCTGTATAGCCTAGGCTGGCCTTCAATTTAAGGTCTTTCTGCTTCAGTCTCCCTAGTGCTGGGATTACAGGTTTATGCCAAGACACCTGACTCTGTTTTTGTTTGTTGAGTTGTAGTCTCCCTCTGTGACCAAGCAGGCTGTGATGTTCCTGCTTTTGTGCCTCCCAAGTTCTGTGATCACATGCATGCCTCGTTTAGTTGTATGATCTTGCACAAATCCTTTTAACTTCTCTGAGCTGAAGACATAATGTCACATTTATTTTCTTTGCAAACTTACTTTGAAATACATAATTTTAATTAGCTGGGTGTGGTAGCACCTGCCTGTAGTCCTAGCTACTTCAGAGACTGAAGAAGGAGGGTCACTTTAGCCCAGAGTTCAGGGCCAGCCTGATCAGTGTAGCCAGATCCCATCTCTTTTATATACTGCACTATAGGTGATTGTGAGGCGAATAGACTTGATCTGACATCACTCACTCTGGTTCTCTTGTGGTTTTGATTCCTAGATTGGGGCTGCTAGTCGTATTCCTGGAATGACACCTGCTGCCATCATCAATCTGCTTAGATTTGTGAAGAACACTCAGCAAAGACAGACAGCAAGGAAGGAACCCCACGCTAATCAGTACTTATGTGATACGGAGAAACTTCAAGACAGAGAATTATAGCTTTCATTTCATAGACGAATTTAGGACAAGTGCATGGAGAACATAAGTAGAAGATATGAGCAATTTTGACACCTGTGCAAATAGAATCACTAGGTTATTACGGGTTTGTCCTTAATTTGTAAGGCAGACACAGATCACAGTTGCACTTTTTTATGTATCTGAGAAAAGCGGTTGCAAACAGTTTCAGCTCTCTCAGGGGCTCTAAAACAGTGAGTCTATGTAGCATTCATCAGAGAGAGATGATAGTGAAGCCAAAACAAAACCTGAAATTGAACATGGTGGCACACAGCTGTAAGCAGCACTCACAAGGCTAAAGCAGGAGTAAAGTTAAGACTAACCTGGGCTACATAATGAGACCCAATCTCAAACAAAAAAAGACAGCCCTTTAGAAGAGCCTCTGCCGTGCAGCCTGCCCACTTCTGAATTACTCAGAAGAGTTGTTTTTTCTTTCCCTTCTTTCTCTCTTAGATGCTGGCCAAAGCATGAGCCTGCCTTCCCTGGCACTCTGGGCTTCCTCAGTCTCTGAAGCTTCCCTGCCCCTTTGTCACTCCACACACAACCAATCCCAAAATAGCATCACGAAACCCTTTCACAAAGAAGATAGAAATCTCTTATATGGGGTCAACCCCATTCCTGAGGAACATGCCTTTTACCAGTTACAAGGAGGGTCTGATGAAGCTGGAGGTCAACAGTGTGAAGGCAATTGAGTGCATGTGCTGAAACCACTAGGGCTAAGCCCAAGATGCACTGGGAAGATGCACAGGCTGGAAGTGTGCATGCTGAGGCTGTCAAGGCCCTTGTATAAAGCCCAAGGCATCCTAAGAAGCCAAAGGGTTCCAACTACAAGCTCTATTGACTTAACATTCATCACCCACCCAAGCTTGGGAAACGGGTTTGTCTGCATGGCCAAGGGTCTTAGACTGCCAATCAAAAGCCAAGGCTCAAACCAAGACCTAGGTTACAGGACCCTCTCCAGCTCTGGTTCCCAAAGATGCCCAGGTTCTTGTGAAGGCCTGTGGTAAAGGCCTCTCTGTCTGCCATTGTGAAGACAGTTGGACTCATATGACAGCCCACCCCCCATACTGTTTGCAGGTGGGTGGTGTCAGTTTGTAGATTTTCTACTCTAGGGACCCAAGGGCCCATGAGTAAAATGTAATTTGGTACCTTTTACCTATGAAATACACCAAATTACAGGCTTATACAGTTGGATCGTGTCTCAAAAAGAAAAGATGAATGTAAAAATGAGGGGAAATTTGGATAGTTTTCTGATCTCTTTGGATACCTGAGGGTAGAATGACCACAACGTTTAATTTTTTGATTTAACGTGTATTGTCTTAATGTCTCTTACAAACCTTAATGTCTCTTAAACCCTTATTCATAGGCCTTTCAGAGATTTCCAGGTTACTGTAGGTTAGAAAGCAGTAATAATGTCTTTAAATTGGATGAAAAATTATGACTGTACAATATCATGTAGACTCATCCAGCTAGCTACTTTTTAAAATCTTTTTTGAACAGTTTCTCCAGCTGGTGTAGTGGTATACATGTAAACCTAACTCTTGGAAAGTAGGAACAAGAAGATCAGGTGTTCAAAGGCATCTTCAGTTCAAGGCCAGCTTGGGCTACACGAGATCACGCTGTCTCAAAAAACGAACAGAGTATCTGTATAGCTTATTCAATAGTTTCTAACTTTGAAATGCAATCAAAAGTCAACTTTGAACATTTAAATCTTAAATTCAGTACTTCAGGAAATGTCAGTAGTAATTAGTTTTGAACATTAATGAAAGTCCTGTAACACAGAAACATCAGAAATCAACATTGTTTCCTGTCATCCACAATGTAGAAACTTGTTTTGTAATCTGGTTACAGATAGTCATTTTTTATTGTAAAGACCTCTTCTGATGCAACTCTTCTGACCATGATTTAACAATGAAGGCTATTCCATAGTAACTGATGAATAGCATTTGCCTGCTTCTCAGTCAAGTGACAGAAAACCCAGAGAAGTGCTGGTGGTGCCCTTCTTTTCTGGTACCTGGATTGTTTGTGGTCACAAGGGCTAGACTGGGGTGACCAGTAGGCCCTTCGGCTAACCCTTAAAGACAGCCTTGGCTGGGCATGGTGACGCATGCCTGTACTCCTAACTCAGGAGGGAGAGGCAGGAAGATCTTGGAGATCTACATCATGAGTTCCAGGTTAAATGGACCAGATGTCTCTGTTTGTCCCTTGCATGCTAACCAAGCTTGTGTAGCCCAGGAAGAAGATTCTCTATCCACTTAGGCTAAAGAGAGTACTTAGTGTTCCAACAGCTCCAAGTCACTTTGGCTATTGATTTATTTGGTAAGCCCTATTATGGATGAGTCAACCAAGTATTTTGTTATTTCACCTGTCCATTTGGATGTAGTTCAGTTTTCATAATTCTGTTTAATTTTAATCTCTCCAGATCAGGTCAGTATCTTTTTGATATTTTATTTTAAAGGGTAGCGTGGTGTGTGTAAAGAAAGAATGCATAGCCAAACAAGGCGGTGTAACCAAGCACTCAGGAAGCTGAGCTATCACTGCATGTTTCAGTGAGACAGTCTTTTTTTAAAAAAAAAAAAAAAGTGGGGGTGCACACTTGTAACCCGAAGACCTGAAAGGCAGAGGCAGGAGTATTGCCTCAAGTTGGAGGCCAGCATGTGATACATACCAAAACCCTGTCTCAGAAAAAAGAACAAATCCAGGCAAGCCTGTAATACAAGGACTAGGGAAGCAGGGCAGGAGGATCCCACAAGTTCAAGGCTATCATGGTCTACCTATCAAGTTCCACACAAACCAAAGACACACAGCAAGACCTTGTCTCAAAAATAAAACAGCTACTCGAGTGTGTGGCATGTTCCTTTAGTCCCAGCACTCTGGGAGGCACAGGATCTTTGTGCATTCAAGGCCAGCCTGGTCTGCATAGCAAGTTCCAGGCCAACTGGACCTACAGGGAGACACTCTTCCCCCCCCCCCCAAAAAAAAAACACAGCTGGGCATGGTAGCCCACACCTGTAATCCCAGCACTCAGGAGGCAGATCTCTTTGAGATCTGGGCCACCTTGGTCTACATAGCGAGTTCCAGGCCAGCTGGGGCTACAGGGAGACCCTGTGTCAAAAAAGACCAAAAAATATAAAATTTAAGGAAAAGAACAGATTACTGGTATATTCATCTAAGAATGGGTGAGCCTCAAAACACATGAAAGATGCTAGACTCAGAAGGATACACAGAGGCGTTCCAGGCCAGTTTGGACTACAGAGTCAGACCCTGTCTCTGAAAAACTTTAAAAAATAATTTTAGTGCATGTAAATATCTTGGTAAAGAAAAATGGGAAATCTACAGCTTTCTAATCTTTCTTATTCAGGGAAAGGATTAACTGCAACGTAGGTTTTTTAAATTATTTTTGATGATGGAATTGGAACTTGCTCTGTGAACCAGGCTGTCACTTGAGATCCACCTGTCTGCGATCATTAAAGGCATATGCCACCACAGAATTTTTAAATTTAACATTGTTTATTGTCTTGATATTTTTTTTCAGGGGCTGATCTTTTTGAGACAGGGTGTCCCTGTAGCGTCCAGCTAGCCTGGAACTCGCTTGTAGACTAAGCTGGCTTCGATCTTACAGAGATGGCCTGCCTCTACCTCCAAAGTGCTGGGATTAAAGCATGCACCACCATGTCTGGCATTATGATATCTGCTAGAGGTCACAAACTGAATTCTATACCCTTATTCACAGGTCTTTCACAGATTTCTATTAGATGAGAGATCAACCCCATTTAGTAGCTAGTCATACAGCAGTTTCCTAAAATAATTTTTCCTATCCAAAAATTATTACTAAGAAAGCAGTAGTGTATTTGGTTTTTGTGTTTGTGTGTGGTTTTTGTTCTTTGGGGTTTTTTGGGGGGGGCGGGGTAAGACAGTCTCCCTGTAGCCCCAGCCGACCTTGAACTCACTACAAGGACCAGGTTGGCTTTGAACTCAGAGGTCTGCCTCTCCTCCCAAGTGCTGGGACTAATGGCATGGGCCACCATGCCCAGCTTGGTGAAAGCAATGTATTTGTGAGAGTTAAATTCAAGTTTAGTCATGGAAGCTCCCAAAAGACGTGTAAATAATGGAGGTGACTTAGATGCCACATAAGCAGTAAGAGAGAACACAGGATTTCCAAGTAAAACAAGTAACACAAACTCAGATCAAAACAAGAGTCCTGGGGGCTGGAGAGGTGGCTCAGTGGTTCAGTGCTTACTGCCCTTCCCAAAGACCTGAGTTCAATTACCAGCACCCACATTGTGTGACTTACAACTACCTGTAACTCCAGCTCCAAGGGATCCAACATCCTCTTCTGGCCTCTGAGGGACACACACACATGGCTTAAACTCACACAGACACAAAAATCTCTTTAAAAGAATCCTTCAGGAAAACAACAGGTCATTCCTTTCTGTTGCAGGACCTAGACTTCACATTGTTCAAAGATACTCCAATAATCCCCATCTGACTAGGACTTTATTTCTACATTATTCCATGATGACATGAAGTAGCACCTCTGTTCTAAAACCTATGTAAGACCATCTTTGACACAAACACCCTTGCCTAGAAAAGTCTGCATTTCCAGAATTGGGGCTTCTATACCCAAACAAGCTTGCTTTGCTTTTGCATTTTCTCAGTTCAGAGAAGCTACTCGGGTAAATCTGCCTTTTTAAATTTTTTGGAGTTCTGTCAGGTTTGTTTTTGAAGAAAGTTTTATCAACAGCTATTCTTGAACATGTATATGTAATATTGCATGCACACATCACCGTTTTTAACATTAATAAAGGTTAAATACATTATCCTTTAAAAAAAAAAGCCAAAATGCAAACTTTAAACAAAAGTCTTAATAATTGGAGAAATGGCTCAGGGGTTAAGAGGACTCCCATTTGAGTCCCAGCACCCACATGAAGGCTAATTCCAGTTCCAGGAGATCCATCACCCTTTTTTACCTCTGTGGGCATTGTACAACACGAGTGCACTTACATACATACATGCAGGCGATACACTCATACACATAATCTTAAAAGTATTAGTGTGCCAGACATGGTGGCACACACCTTTAGTTTCTAGCACTTGGGAGGCGGCAAAGGCAAGTGGATCTCTAAGTTAAAGGCCAGCCTGGTCTACATAGTTCCAGGCCAGCTGGGGCTACAAGGAGACCCTCTCAAAAAGACCAAAAACAAGTCTTAACGTTTGTGTTGGTTACCATTTGCACAGCAGTTAAACATTTTCATTTTGGCTGCACATGAAAAAATGGCAGAAATTAAAGTGATTGAGGGTGTTTAAATAGAATAGGCAGTTTTGCCCTGCAGAAGCACTATTAAATAGTAGTTTTCAGGAAAAAATCCACAATTCAATGCATAATTAGATGCCTTAGCCAGTTTTGAAAGGACAGCATCCCTTTCAACTACTGAGCTGGCACAGAAAAGCCTAAGAACATGATGAAGTGGGAAGAGTAGAGGAAGCTGGGATGAAGAACTGTCATTGCAGAATGCGGTTTTCATCTGCAGGATGCCTTTACTCCAGAACCTTACTGAACATAGATTTAATTTGCTTGGAGGTAGTCTCACCATTCAAATGGTCTGTTGTGTAGCTGAGAGCATTTAGAAGGCCTTCTACGCTATTAGGAGGGACCTCAGCATAAAACAGTTTGCCAATTCCTTATTCATTTCTCCTTCTGGAACACTGTTCTCATATGACTAAATGTTCTTTTATAATAGCTGAAGTCATTCTGTATGACAGAATTTGTTCATCAAACGAGTGTAAAATGAATTTCTGCAAACTGCTTAGCAAAAACCTGCTTTCGCTCTAGATGCTGGGTAGGGGAATATTGGGTGGTGGGCAAGACTCCCAGAAGGCCTCTTAATGCAGCCTCCAACCTGAGGGGGAAAAAAAAAAAATTCAATTAAGCCAGGCATAGTGGTGCACCTTTAATCCCAGCCAGAGACAGGCGGATCTCTGTGAGTTCAAGGCCAGCCTGCTCTACAGGGAGATCCTGTCTGAAAAAAACCAAAAAGAAAAATTTAATTTGCCTATTAGTGGCACTACCACACCTCATGCCTTCTCTTGGAAGGTCTCATCTGTTGGATGGTGGATTGCCTCCTGTATTTCATGGCCAGCTCCGCTGCAAGTCCTCCAAGATGCCTTCTGAATCTTTCAGTCCTACATTCACCTCATTACAAGCGTGTGAGCTGGGCATCTTCAGCCAGTACTAGTGATTTTGTCCCTGTCCTATGCTACATGAGCCTCCACATGCTCTCCTGTTCCCATTCTGTTCTGGTTCTGTTCCTCTAGCTGCTGCTCCTCGGCAGCGCTAGGGGAAACCCTGGGCCGAGATGGGGAGCCACTTGGCATCTGCCCTGGTGGCAGTGGCTACCAGCAGGGAGGGGTTTTTTGGGTCGAGACAAGGTCTTCCTGTAGCCCCAGCTGGCCTGGAACTATGTAGACCAGACTAGCCTAGATAGAGCTCCACCTGCCACTGGAATTAAAAGGCAAGTACCACTACAGCAGTTTTGTCCAAGCTGGCCTCAAACCCCAGAACTCAAGTGATTATCCTGCTTCTTTCCAGAGCTGAGACTACAAGTACGCACACCAGATATTTTAATAAAAATACAGATGTGAGCCTGGCATGGTGACGCATGCCTTTAGTCCCAGCAGACAGAGGCAGGTGAATCTCTGCGAGTTCAGCACCAGCCTAGTCTACATAGCGAGTCCCAGGCCAGCTGGGGCTACAGGGAGATCCTGTCTCAAAAAGACAAAAAAATGTGGTAGTATGTGCCTGTAATCCCAGCAACCTGAAATGTACAGGCACTATGAGGATAGCCTTGGCTATCTAGTAATTTCAATGCTAGCCTGGGCCACATGAGACTTCATCTGAAATTTTCCATTTAGATAATCATAAATTGAACAAAACCTTCAGGAAAGTGTCTCAAATTCAAATTGAGCCAACCCTGGTGGCACAGGCCTGTAATCCCAGCTGTGCTGTGACAGGAGGACAAGTCTGAGGCCTGCCTGGCCAACTGTACCTGGTGCAAGCCTTTAATTACAGGAAGCACAAGCAGGAAGATCAGTGCTAAATTCAAGGCCAGTTTGTTCTATATGGTGAGGCCCTGGGTTCAAGCCAGTTATCACACAAAATTGTTAAAACGTTGATAAACTTGAAGTCTAATATGGCTGCAGGATTAGTATAGGCACAGCATTTAAGATTGGCAAGCACCTTTACTCACTGAGCCACCTCACCACAGCCCCATTTTGAATTGTACACAAAGTCTCATATAAATTCAAATTCACTATGTTGCTAAGTCAACTACACCTTGACTCATCCTTCTATGTAACCAAGGTCAATCTTCAACTTACTATGTAGACAGAAATGACCTTTTAAAGACAGAATATTTAAGTACACAAGGCCTTGGGTTTGATGCCCGGCATCACAAAAGGTGTCTTTGTGACTATCTTTTTATCTCTTAAGTAGAATGTCTGATTTCTTCATAATCAAGACCACATCAAGGTCATTTAATTCAACAGATGGCCTACTTGAAACAAAATTCCAAGTTTAATTGGTATCTATTCTGAATAGATATCTATACCTGATACCTGTATCTGAATTGGAATCTATTCTATTACCTTAGTTTTGACAAAGTATATGGACAATATGCAGGCCTGGGATGTAGCTAGTAGACTTTTGCTCTTGAGGTCATGGTTCTATCACCTGTACCATTTTTATTATCTTTAAACAGCTCCCACTAGGTAGCACACACAAAACTGGATTTGACACAGGTATCCATTTGACTCAAAATAACTTCCTAAAGAATTTGAGGGGGC